TGAGGCACCTGGTAAAAAGGCCAGCGTGTCTCGACAGAGATCCGCCGAGTTCCACAGCCTTGAGAAAAAGTACGGGAGAATTCGACACTATATTGAGTTGTACATCTGTAAAGAGCAGCTCGAGCGCAATGGACTGAAGTGCTTTGCAGATCAATCGCATGTTCGCACGCTGTTTCTGTGTTTGGTCCAGAACTTGGCTATCCAAGGTGGTAAGACCGTTGAAGAAGGTAATCGGGTCGCCTGCCAATCCTCGGCGAGGTGGGAGTGTCGCAAGGAAGATGAGGCGCCACAGCTCATCGGGCAAGCGTCCTAGGTAGTCGACTCCATCGGTTTCTGTCGGTATAGTGTCCTCAATCGCCGCCGTCTCGGGCATTTCGACGAGAGATGGGGTGGAGGTCAGAACCAACCGTCATGACACAGAGGTTTTGGAATTCCTTGACTTTGCCGCACCTAGAAGAAGCCACGATGACTTCTCCCAGCGGTCAACACGAAAAAGTGCGCAAATCTGCGGCTGATCTGCAAAGCACTCGAGCCTCTTGCACTCGAGCTGCTCTTCACGGACGTGTACTTGAGACCATGCTGGGAACTCTTGCATCCTGCTATAGGACTATAGATTCTGAGGTATATGGGTCCAAAAACGCTGGCGTTTTTACACGCTACATCGTCCATTTTCTTGTATATAGCGTCCCAGAACCAGCCCTCGACACTCTATTGGTGGACGCACAGGTGCTCAATACGACGTTCCCTTGGCTTGGCAATTTGTTTTGCGACTCTGGCCAGTTGAACGCAATGTCATTCACATAAATGCCTAGCATGACCGAACTCTAACCACCACCCCCTGAAGTATTGAGGGCAGCATGCCGGGTGATCCATCTATGCGCCGTCAACAGTATCATACTTAAAAATAGGGAGAACAACCCTTTATACATATATGAGCAGCGTCATGCGGTCAAGCCCTGGTCACGGGTCAGAGGGCTTTGAATTCGAGGGATGTAGTGACCATATCTGTTTGAGGCTGCAGCACGGAGTTCACAAAGGATGAAGGGATAGCTGTCGACGACTCCGGTGACGAGCCAGGTAATTACGAGCACCAACCTGATCTTGACTATCACTCGGATAGTTCGCCTGAAACGAACATTGCGTCGTATTGACGAATTGGGTATATTCCGTCACTTGAAAGAGCAAATGCTACGGCTCAATGACCGCAACTTGAGTTTACTCCTGTCGCGGCAGCCAAGCTTTGGAAAATAACATAAGAAGGCTACCCAAGGAGATATATTATCCAGCTTTGTTCGCTGAGAGGAATGTCACTCACGATCGGATATAATCAAGACGGGTTCTGTCTATATAATAACCTACTGGTGGGATTTTAGGGAACAGTCGTCCAAGCAAGGTCACGTTGAAAATGGTGCGCCTCATTGGCGGCATCGAATTGGCAAAAGAGTAGCCGCAGTTCATGTCGCTTGGATTGAGTGTAGGTGTAGTATCTACCGTGTATATATATATATATATATACCTTTTCGCCGTAACACCCTTCTGTCTAACAGTAGGGCTTACTGATTCTGTGTAACACCAAGGGTAGATAATCGAGTAGTCCAAAGGCTCAGAAGGTACTTGGGCTGCGCAGGAGTTGAGCCTAACGTGTATAAATGACATTTGCAATACATTGCCTATCGCATTCTCTATCAAACCTTGACCATACCGCATTAGAGATACACGACAGTAGTCACCTTGATTCCTGCTTCCATGCAACTGAACCACCTAACGAGTCCAAAAATACCCTATGAATCACAAGTCTTACTCTTCTCCACTCTTGTGTTCGGCTGTGTTGTGCCGACACTCTTTGACACGACGCATGCCCATCTTGGATCCATCCGCATCCACGGATGTCGGCCAAACGGCGGGACAAGTCCAAGAAATCACATGAAACTGTCAATCCACCCGAATCTTTCTCTGTCGCCCAAAGCTCGTCTTCCAGGAAGAATCAAGTGTACGACAAAGTCAACTTTGGCCTCGATGCATTGGGAAATATATCCGAGGGTTCAGATGTACTTGCTCCTCTCAAAGCAGCATGTCGAACGACGAAATCTGTCCTTGATATCATGCAGGTAAATTGGTCCAACTCGCTCAACGGCTTCAACTGACAAATACGGGCAGGCTATCGAGAGCAACCAGGAAGAATGGACGAACCTAACACAGCGTCTGAAGGGATACATGAGCGGACTCGAGAAGCAAACCACTTTGTTCGAGGCATATGCCGCAAACGATAGGGCTTTCGACGAGGCACTGAGACAGCCACTGATGCACTATTTCAAGTACGTGAGGATTCTAAATTTCTTCAGCAAGCTGATCGATACAGAGCTCTCGAAGATATCCATGATACGGTGGTCGAAGTGAGGGAGAAACGAAGTCGCAGCAAACTTGGGTTCTTGAAATCTATGAGCAAAGTGAAGATCGATGCTGGAGAGATTCGTGAACTCAACAGAGATATCGAGGAGGACATCGGCAGTTCATGGTGCGGGTCTCTTCGGTCTTCTTCGCAATCTCACTATATACACAGGAAGCGTTGGGTATTTTTACTGCACTGCGTGCTCAAGACATTCAACAAAAGAGTAAGTCTGAAATCCTTGTGAGAGGCTTGCTTAGCCGTTTCTAGTCGAGACTGCAACTATTCTTCAGTCTATTCTTCAGTTACCGACAGTCGCATTCGCCGCGTCCTCGGTTCATACGACCTGTCTGAAAGGAACGCGTGAGGCAGTCCTTCAGATGATCTGGCGCTGGGCCAGTGAGGTGCCGTCGGAGAAGCCTATATTTTGGCTGTGTGATATAGCTGGGTCCGGCAAGTCTACAGTCGCAATGTCCGTAGTCGAATCATGGCGGAACGAAGGAGTGTTAGGGGGTCGATTCTTCTTCTCCATGGCAAACAATGACGCATCGACCACGGACAAGTTCTGTTCGACCATCGCAAGAGACCTCGTCCAGTACATCCCTGATCTCAGACCCCATATTGCCAAAGCTGTGGAACAGAACCCTTCTTTCATGCGAAGTTCTGTGGATGAGCAACTTCGGACGCTCATCACGAATCCACTCCTCCAGTCAGACAAGCGCGTGATCCTCGTCATCGACGCTATCGACGAATGCAAATCTGGATCACAGCGAAGAGAACTTCTCGAGGCGCTTGCTACCGCTGCTCGAGAGTGCGCGAACCTCAAAATCTTTCTCACCAGTCGGCCAGATCCCGTCATCGAGGCGGTCTTGCAGGGACTTTTGATCAAGGAAAAGTTGGAAAACCGGCTTCACGATGTGAAGCACCCAGATACCACAAACGATATCGCGGTGTATGTGCATCATTCGTTGCATGAAGTCCTACCGCAGGACAAGAGACCGCGTCTGGCCGAAAAGGCCAACGGGTTATTCATCTGGGCGAGCACTGCATGTCGAATGCTCACGAGTGAAACCAGATTGAGTTCACCCGAGGATGTTTATGACCGTCTGATCTCTCTGGACCAGCCAGGAGTGATCGACGACCTATATAATCTTATCTTCGAGCGGACAGACCCCGAGTACTACGCGGTCATGTGTTCAATGCTGGCGCTGCTGCATGGTGCATTTGAACCACTAACGGTGGACGATCTGGACGATCTAGTGAAGCATGCAAAAGTACGGGGAAGTGCCAGGGCCCTGGTACAGAATCTAGGAAGCGTACTCAGTGTGGATTCAAAGACGGATCTGATCCAATTCCGCCACCCAACGCTGGTCGAGTACCTTCGACGGTGCTCGATCCCCCAAGGTGGCGATAACCGAAATAAACTATATATCGATATCGGCAATGCTCACGGTCAAACAGCATCGTGGTGTCTGAAGCGGTTCAAGTTGCTTAATGGAGGACTCAAGTTCAACATATGTGAAATCGAATCCTCTTTCTTCCTAAACAGGCAGATTCCGGATCTGGAAGAGAGAATTTCAAAGTTCATTCCAAGAAGACTTCGATATGCCGGTTTGCATTGGTTATTTCATTTGGCGGAAACGGACGACGGGTGGCGAACTAGGCTAAAGGACGGAATTGAACACGTGATAAAAAGCCCATATGTCCTATACTGGATGGAGGTTCTGAGTTTCACCGGAGGGGTACCAAGGGCGATAGCGGGACTTCGAGCCGTTGCGCGCCATAGAAGAGTGAGTAGTCTATACGTACATACTGTAGTGACTTATACAGAGGTAGATTGAAGAGGAGACGAGGACGATGATGACGGAGGTCCGACGGTTTCTAATGGCATTTTCGGTGCCGATTCAAGACAGTGCTCCGCACATCTACATCTCAGCATTAGCGTTTAGTCCGAGGAAGTCAATCCTTCACAGCGAGAGACTGAAACGGCATGCCAATACTCTCAGTGTGACCCAGGGATACGAGGAGACGTATCCTGGGCTTCCCAGGGCTCTTCAAGGTCATGGGGGCAGGGTCTACGCTGTCAAGTTCTCTCCAGATGGAACACACATAGTCTCTTGTTCGGGAGACAAGACGATTCGACTGTGGGACGCAGAAACCGGCCAGAGATTGGGGGAGCCGTTTCGCGGACATACATCTGAAGTATTTTCCATTGGATTCTCGGCAGATGGTTCCCGAATTGTCTCTGGTTCGAATGATAAGACAATTCGAGTCTGGGAGGCGGACACCGGCCAGCCTTTAGGAGCGCCACTGCGTGGTCACGAAGACGGCGTCCTGACCGTTGGATTCTCGCCGGACGGATCAAAAATTGTCTCTGGATCGTATGATAATACGATTCAAGTGTGGGATGCAGACACTGGCCAGGCGCTGGGAGAGCCATTCCGAGGTCATGAGGGTTGGGTCTATGCCGTATCATTCTCGCCAGATGGATCACGAATTGTCTCTGGCTCTGCTGACCAGACAGTTCGGTTGTGGGATGCACATACCGGCCAACCCGTGGGAGAGCCATTCCGAGGTCATGATGCTCGGGTTGTGGCCGTAGGATTCTCACCAGATGGCTCAATGATAGTCTCTGGCTCGTGGGATCGGACCATTAGACTGTGGGAGGCAGATACCGGCCAACATGCGGGAGAGCCAATCCGAGGTCACGAAGGTTGGGTCTATGCCGTGGGATTCTCTCCAGACGGGTCACGGATTGTCTCTGGCTCATCGGACCAGACCGTTCGGCTATGGGAAGGAGATACTGGTCAGCCAGTAGGAGAGCCTCTTCGAGGTCATTATTCTAGTGTCAACGCGGTCGCATTCTCGCCTGACGGCTTTTTAATCGCGTCTGGTTCGCACGACAAGACGATTCGACTATGGGACGCAGACACGGGACAACCTTTGGGAGAGCCACTCCAAGATCACGACCCCTCGGTGATGGCCATCGCATTCTCACCGGACGGCCTGCGAATTGTCACTGGATCGGAAGAAAAGACGCTTCGGCAGTGGGACGCACACACTGGTCAGCTTTTAGGAGAGCCATTCCGAGGTCATGAAGACTCCGTCAGGGCTGTTGCATTCTCACCAGATGGCTCTCGAATTGTTTCCGGTTCGAGCGACAGCACCATTCGGCTATGGGATGCAGACACTGGTCTGGCGTTGGGAGAGCCGCTTCGAGGACACAAAGCGGATATATTGGCTATCAGATTCTCACCAGATGGCTCAAAGATCGTCTCTGCCTCATGCGACAACATGATTCAACTGTGGGACGCTGCGACCGGTGAGTCGCTGGGAGAGCCAGTCCGAGGTCCTGAAGAACAGGTGGCAGCCATCGCGATCTCGCCGAACGGGTCCCAAACTGTCACTGGATCCCGAATACTTCGTGGTCCAGAAACACTCTCTCAAAAGACAATTCGATTGTGGGAGACAAATACTGGTCAACCATTAGGAGAGCCACTCCAAGGACACGAAGCTCCGGTCGCTGCCGTCAGATTCTCCCCAGACAGCTCACGAATTGTGTCCGGCTCACACGACCGCACCGGTACAATTCGGCTGGGACGCTGACTGGTCAGCCATTCGGAGAGCCACTCCGAGGACACAGCGGACCTATCAACACTTTCAAGTTCTCGCCTGACGGCTCACGGATTGTCTCTAGCTCGCTTGACGGGACGATTCGATTCTGGGACACAAATACTGGTCGTCCACTAGGAAGCCCACTTCTCGGTCACAAATCCATGATCAACGCGGTGGCATTCTCTCCAGATGGCTCGCGAATCGTCTCCGGCTCTTCCGACAAAACAATTAGGGTATGGAACGCGGAAACTGGTAAGGGGGCCTACGCTTGTTGTTCAATTTGTGATGACTTGACACCTGTCGTTAGATGCGATCTCAAAGAGCTCCAATAGAAATGAAGAAGCGCATTCAGGCTCGAGCAGCCCAACAGATGATTCAAAAGGAAACCTTGTACCCGGATTTGAGCATTGCTCACTGTCCTGGGATGGTTGGGTCCAATCCTCGGGGAAATATCTCTTCTGGGTGCCACCAGACAATCGGCATGGACTACAGTACCCGCGTCTTCTTCTGACTATACCGACAACGAGTCCATTCCGTGCGACCAAGGTTGATTTCAGTCGTTTTCATTGTGGGCCTTCTTGGACAAGCGTTCGAACAGATCTTGATCAATGATCTGTTGCGGCGGCTATGGCTAATAGTATATGCTCTCTTCTGTCAGAACTAGTTCCCATCTTCTGTAGACTAGAGAATGTAGAATTTGTAAGGATGCTCGTTTCATTCTCGCCATGGTTAATCAGGGTGATCCTCGCGTTATCTGATAACTTCCAGCGGGCTATTGCCCGTCTCAATTATTCATTTCATGTCGGATGAACAGATCCTCGCCAGGTTTTTGGAACTGACCGCATCTACAAGCACTTCTTTTAATCTTTTATTTACCTCAAGACCAACGGCACTCTTGGTTCCACGACGTCTCCTAACAGACTCCTCCGAAATGGTTCGGTAACTGTCCAATGTCCTCTGCTTCCGACATGGAATCCAATGATATGTGGAGCGCTACAACCTGTAAAGGGAAGCATGAGCGCTGCAAAATTTCCATCAGAGCTCCGACATGCGTCAACAACGAGCGTGTCGGGCCAAGGCATTACGCTCACCAACGGGGGAGAAGGATCCTTGTACCCATGGGAGCAGCAACATGACAGTCGAGCTCTAATCAGAGGCACTCCAGCGACAAGGACCAAAGGTTCTGGATCCGAGGCACATGGTGACGACATCAGTCCAGGCGCGAGGTTTACAGAGGATGACCGATGCGGAGACAGACCATTATAATTCGGAGCTCCAGTTGATCTGACTATTACTCGGAGAAGTTGTCATCAGGAATGGACATTGACGAGGGTATATTCCTATGTCTGTACAAGTCAAATTGTTCGCCTCTGGTCAATAGTTTTACCAAGGGAAGTGTGATAAACCATTCACTTTTGCGAGGATAGGTCAAAGTAGTCGGGATGACGACAGAGTTCGTGACTGATCGTGAGGGGATAATTCGGTTTAATTTGATAAACTTGTTTCCTCTCTTCTGAATGCTGTACTAGAAAAGAAACACACTAGTCGCAAAATGGCGAGTTATCTGCCTGCATCAGGACCTAGTAGTTCAACTTCATGAGGTAGTCTGCCAAATCCTTCTACGGCAGCGTGCATTGCTTCTGGTCGATAGGGGAGTTCAAATGGCTACAATGATTGAGCTGTTCGTCTTTACGATCACACATCCGTTGGGCTATCGTCAATTCCTCAGTTGTGTATTCAGTTGGCGAATCAAAGCACACCACCCCTACGTCCATGAGGCTCCGACTGCCAGATTCAAAGAGGTCATTACTTTCTTCCGCCGATCCGGACGCCATTGGCTCGCCTCATCTCGGTTCTGGAGGTTTGTGAAAGCTTTCTAATTCGTCTGCCTCTCTCAGGTTGGAACTGAAGGCATAATATCAGATGAGCAATTAGTAAAAAAATCATGCTGAGGCATTGAAAGCGGTATTGATGGCGCATGTTTGCAGAGATGGGACCGCTACTGACTACAAGATTGTCCGTCTTGGACCATGGTTCGCCAGGCTGATACATGAGTGCGACTGCAGTTTGGCGGATTTGGTTGCAGCTGCCACCATTGATGACATAATTACTCAGTTGCTCTGAACAACGGATCACAGGTAGGATCATCAGTGGCAAGATGGGAATCAGGACGGCAAAATGGGAAAACCAGAAAGACAAGCATCAGCAGATCGATCAGTATTGGGGATAGTAGCGAACAGAGACGGACGTACGTTTCCAGGGGTCCGCCATCGTCTTGTGCGTCTGAGCTTTGGCCGAGTTCAAGTTGGAGTTTCCTAAAAAGGCGCTGGCCAGTGGCTCTCGCCTGCTGGCGTCCTGGGACAACTCCAAGTTGCTGAAATGGGATTAAAAGGTTTAAATTGAGTGCTATAGTTTTCAGATGAGATGTTTGGATTAGCCAGATCCGTCAAGGCAAGTCTACCTGCTGGCTGCCAGGTGCATTCTCCTATCAAATGACCGTTAAATTGAATGAATTGACACGAAATACGCAGGCATTGACTGTATTCCCGCCACCACTCTATCATGTTGTTGTGACAGTCCATCCCAACCAAAACCTCGACCATGGTACGAATACCTGATAGCATCGCGAGACAGCTGATGAAGAGGTTTTGCCACCAAAGAAAGAAAGGTTGTCAGGAAGAAGCTACCGTCTCTCTCGGTCCTCAGGTCGCAGAGCGAGCTCGTCTTTGGCGTCGCGCACATCTACGCGTCTTTCAACGACACTTTTGTACATTACCGATCTTTCGGGCAAGGAAACCATCTCGCGTGTCACCGGTCGTCTTGTTCTTTTCAGCTTTCTTGATCAAAACATCCAGAGTGGCTGACTGACTGTCCGTTCTAGGTGGCATGAAAGTCAAGGCTGATCGTGACGAATCGTCTCCATACGCCGCTATGTTGGCCGCTCAGGATGTTGCTGCTCGCTGCAGGAAGTCGGCATTACCGCTCTTCATATCAAGCTCCGTGCTGGAGGAACCGGAACAAAGACACCTGGTCCAGGTGGACAGTCGGCTCTCAGGGCTCTCGCTCGTGCTGGCATGAAGATTGGTCGTATCGAGGACGTGACACCTGTCCCGACTGACTGCACTCGCCGCAAGGTTGGTCTCGGTTCTCATATCCATCTTATTTCCCATATGAATCATTCTATCTAGGGTGGTCGTCGTGGTCGTCGTCCTAGATTCAAAAACTCGCATTTTCCGTGGTGCATGCTTGTGTATGTGCTCTTGTCTGTGCGTGGTTTCATTTGTCGCCGCACGACACGCAGCAAGTCATCCTCGATGTCTTGTCCCGTGGTCGTGCCCATTCTGACCTCTGTTGTTTACAGTGTCCAATGGTATGTTGCCTGGACGTTTCATACTATTAGGCGCCATGTATACATAGAAGAAGATCCAATTGCTCCCAAACTGCGTGTGTTCTCAGTCTATTCTAGTATCGTGCTCCTGGTCGGCTCATTCAAGCTGCTCGTCAGGATGAACTGCTTTGCGAATGCGGATGATGTCTTGTCGGTTAAGTGATGCCTCTGAGCAGAGAGATCGGAAGATCGATCCCTCTCGGTCATAAAGCCCCAGCGGCGTGTCAAACTCGGCCACCCGTCCAGCATCCAAGACGAGGATCCGGTCATAGTAGACTAAGGAGAGATGAGAACCAGCCAGGATATGATATTGGGTACTCACCAATCGTATTAAGCCTGTGCGCGATGCAGAGCAGCGTGCATAAATTCTGTCTGAATCGTCCTCTGGATCTTTGCGTCGGTCTCGACATCGACATTGGACGTAGCCTCATCCTAATAAAGACACCAAGTTCAGCTTCAGATATTTCCCAAATCCTCCACGACTGACCACAATTACCCTGCTCTCCTTGACGAGGGGCACGACACAAGGCCAGCAATTGACGTTCACCCGCACTAAAGTTGGTACCTCCTTCACTCACGAGTGCACCGAGTTCGAAGCGCGATACATCCGCGCCACCTTTGTCGCCTCAGCTGCATCTGAGGTACCTGGCTCGGACGTCGTATCAAGCAAGCCGGCCCTACGTAGAGCAGAAAGAAGCTCTGCGTCTGTACGCATTCCGAGTGGATCGCTATAAACACCTGATGTCAGCGCCTGGATGTGCTGGATATTAGCTGCTTACATGTTTTCGCGAACGGTACCCTGGAAGAGAAGCGCGTCCTGTGGAATAACGGCCATCTGTCGTCGCAAAACGTCCAAACCAATCTTTCTCGTATCCACGCCATCAATCTCGATAGTCCCACCTTCAATCTCGACAATGCGGAAGAGAGCCTGAAGGATTGAGCTCTTTCCGGCACCGGTACGCCCACAAATTCCAATCTTTTCTCCTGGCTTGACGTCAAAGGTTATACCGTGCAGGACGAGGGAGACCGGGGCGATACGCCATCTTGACGTCGTTGAAGGAGATGGCGCCTTTATCTGGCCAGTTCTGGTCTGGATCCGCTTTTGTCGTCGGTGGTGCCTCTTGTGGGAGTTTTCGCAGTAGTCCAATCGCTCAACGGCATTCATCTCTTGCTCGGATCTCGCCTGTATACGCATAAGTCCCCAGCTGGATTGAAACAAGTCGCGATAATACTTGCCATCTGCGTCACCATCTGAGAGTGTCTGAGTGATGGCAAGGGTGTGCGAGAGCACCACTCCAGTCTTGGATGGATTGGACGTATTTGACGCCGACAGCAAAGACCGATACCGAGGATGAGCAGATTCGCAATAAAGTCAAGACGCATTGCGAGCCATCGCTGGATCAGCACGGATACATACGCGCGATTCTGGTTGTCGATAGCCGCGTCGACGACTTTGATATAGCGGTCCTAGGGCACATTAGCTGGATCCAACGAGGTTCCAGGATTTCCTACCTGTGTTCTCCATGCGTGGATGGTTGATAGGCCAGTGAGTGCCTCTGCTACAAGTCAGACTCTGTATGTCAGAAAACTACATTACTCACCTCCGAGAGAAGAGTAAGGGCCGAACGCAGCACAGAGTCAAGACGCTTCGTCTCAATCGAGGTTCGGCTACAAGACATTAATAGCCGTGATACTGATAATCTGACTCGACGCACCGGTAGAACGCAGACGCAATATAGTAAAGGATGAACAGGAAGGGAATCGCGATGCCAAGATACGGGAAAGTGTAGAAGATAAGAGCAATTGCACCAAGGACTGAGTTTGTCAGGGCAGAGTCAAGCCTACTAGGGTGGCTACTCACCCGCAGCCAACATGCGCATAAGCTGAAAAAGTGCACTGGGCAGTTGGTTGTCCAACGATTCGATATCACGACTGAGACGTGAAAGAATGCGACCCACAGGAGCTAGACAGGATTAAGACAGAGCAATTGTAGAACAAGAGGACGCACTTGTATCGTAGAACGACACTGGCGAACGCATAAGCGCTGTTAAAGCCGTGCGGAAAACACGCGACTGGCTCTCAGCCCGGCGAGTGCAAACGCAAAGGAGCTCAAGAATGCGATGACAGCCTGAACACCACCAATACCTGCGTAGAGCGCCATATATTCCTTGTCGCCAAACCCACGAATCGAACGACTTCACCATCCAAGGAATAGTGTTGTCACAACTGTAGACTCATCAGTTCATCCCGAGGTGAATAGGAGAGATGGAGACGTACTCTGTGCCGCTTGTTCCGCAAGAAGCATCAAGATGATGAGACCCGTGAGAATGAAGCCTCCAGCTGCGGTAATATAGAGACCGTAGATATACCATTGAATCTGACCCGTATTGCGATCCTCTTCTTGCATGGCGGCTTGCCCGCTGCAGCTTCTTCGGCTTTGCTCCTTGGCTTCCTTCCTCCTTTTCTTTCTCTTCTGGCTTCAGTACCACCATACTCGGCTATGAGCTTGGAGAACACAGGGCCATGCTCGATCAGGTCCTCATATGTCAGCATAACAAACAAGCTGAAACGAGGGAATTTCGTACCTGATAAGTACCGTGCTCAACAATTTCGCCTTTATCCAGAACGTAAATGTAGTCCACTCTGGGCAAGGCCGAGAGCGCATGGGTAACGATGCGTGTACGTCCAGCGAGGGACCTCTAGTGAGACAATCTTCGAGGATACTCTTGCCGACATGTGCGTCCACGGCAGAGAGCGGGTCGTCAAGAATACAACGTCTGCTTTTGAATATGCAACACGCGCCAGACTGACGCGAGCCTTTTGACCACCGCTGAGGTTGATACCCTTTTCGCCGATTTCCGTTTGTTCACCTTGAGGAAGCATTTCAAAGTCGGGTTCAGTGAGCATGCGCGGACGACGTCTCGGAACCTGATGATTGTATTCATTCAGCCTCTGACCCATGCAAGGAGGCCAATAGTGACGCACCTCGCTTCATCGTATGGATTTCAAAGAGAATATTGTCGCGCACAGTTGCGTTCGCGAGCCATGGGTTTTGTGGCGTATATGCAATCGTGCCGTTGAACGATACCTATTCACAAACTAGCCTCAATATTTGGAGAGGCAATGCAACCGAGTACTCACGCTGCCATTCGTCTTCCTCATCTCCCCAATCAACGCATTGAGAAGACTACTCTTGCCGCTGCCAACTTTGCCGACGATACCAATGAACTGTCCTTTGGCAATATGCATATTGATATTCTTGAGCTTGAAAATCTCCTTGCCCTCCTTTGGCTCATTGATAATCGTTCCAGAAGGAGAGGGCTCGCCAGATGATTGATCCTTTTGGCCTGTTGCTCGGCTTTCTTGCTCTTCTTGCTCTGTTTCTTCTTCTCGTCTTTTGCCTTTGCATCTTCCTTTTTCTTCGGCACCACCCTTTTGCCTGGCCCGGCTCGCCTTTGGCTTTAGCTGGGTCGGCGACTTCCATATAAAGCTTCCGTCGGTAATATCCACGGCAAATTTGTAGACGAGTCGATGGGAAAGGCCGGTGATAGTTCCTCGGCTGTGAGGAATGCGCCAATACGCAGTGAGACGAGACCGTCGGCACTGAGTGAGAAGATGAAAGGCATAATGAGAGGCTATGAATGTGTTAGGACGCTATAATCCAAACTTGAGTAACGAGAGCTGACCATGCGCAACACTGAAGAGACTGGTCAGCAGGCGACAGAAATGAGAAGAAAGGAACATACATTGAGCATCTGTAATGATGAGAAGATGATGGCGGGATCCAATGGATGACCAGTGAGGCTGTACGTGATCTAGGTCGAGTCAGCCTTGTGGCGAGTAAGCTCTTGACTACGCACAAATGCAAGAATGGCGGCGAGAATAGGAATGAAGGATGTCAACGAGATCAAGTCGAACGTAGCACTCTGGAATCAAGGAATTAGAACACTTTGCTGGATAGAGGATGCTTGGACTTACGATGTAGTTCGGACTTTTGAGTTCATCACGACGCAGTATATCAACCTTGTGACCATAGAGAGTTTCCTATGGAACGTGCGTGAGCAAAATCACCCGCCAAGCGGGTGGGCTTACCAGGCGTAGATCTTGACTAGACGGATACGGATGATCTCAAAGGAGGTGAGATAAGGGCATCTACGTGATGACGCACCTCTTGAAGTAGACGGACACGAGAGTCGGTAATGACAATGCCGTCTTTTCGTGCGTTGAAAAGGAATTTCACGACGATACCCTGTGCGGGGAATCCTAGGAGAAGAACACCGACGGAGACAAGTGCAGAGTATCCCAAGTTACCAATGAGGAGACCTAATGCAAGAATGATCTAGTAGACGTGAATCAACCGGGCACTGGATAAGTAATGATAAGATCTTTACCATCAAAGGAGAAATCCAAAGACTGGTAGAGATATATTAGACATTATGGAAAGTTCATGCAAGAGGACAAACCTGTGGCAGAATCCAAGGGCAAAGTCGAGGCGAGTCGTGTCTGTAGACAGCATGGTAGTAATCTTTCCGGTACTATGCTCCGCGTGCCTATGCATACATGAGTAGACGCTGAATAAATAGTCAAGGACATACCCGTCCGGAAAGTCGCAGAGACTTGCGGAATATCTGGCCGATAATCTACGGCAGATTAATCAATCGAAGGGGAAAGAGTATGAAACTAACAGTGGACCGAATGAGTAAACCAACAGTCATCGTTTGAGCGATGCCATAGTTGTGGGCTACGCTAGCACCCTCTACGGACGGTGAGCATGCAATGATTGATGAGAGAGCGGAGCGTACGTTGCATTAGGAACAGGCCAAATGCGAGGCCAATGCCTTTGCCTATGGGAGGACCTTTTGGATACACGGCAGGGTAACGTGCATGTAGATACGAGTCGACGAGGAATGGAGGAGCGCCTTTGTGACAAGAGGTGACGTCGTAGATAGGAGTCTGAGTAGCGTTAGTTTTATGGCATTCGTATGCTGCAAGGGTCTCTACCTCCAATCAGTTGAACTATGCCGCCCATCCAAAACTTGTATCGGAATGTCTTCTCGAGAGCGAAGACGAGTGCCTCATCATAGGCCTTTTGCGTCTCTTTTCCTCTTCGGGTGTGGGCCGTGTTCAATTTCTTCCGGTGATTCTTTCTCGGAGGTTTCACTGCTGCGCTCGCCTAGCGCCAAATCTCTCGTCGGGCAGAGAGAATACCTTGCTCCTGGATATGTCTCGGTCGTTTCTCTGGACAGCGTTCGTAAAAGTTTCGTTCAAGCCGGGCTCCCAGATTTTCGCTCAGTCGGGGTCATCAGCACCCAGAGGTCTATTTTTGGCTCGTCAGGGTCAGAAACTGGGTTCAGGGGCGCCAAACGGACCGTCGACTTCGAGAGGACAAACCAACGCGGAGGATGGGCGAAAGCCAACCAAAGGTGATAATGGACCATGGCCTATGAGGACACGCGTATTACGAAATTGACGTCAATAAATGTGGGGATAGAAGCATGGCAAAGACACTGACTTTGCGTGAATTTCAGGGATCACAGCACCTGCTGCAAAGCCAGGCGGGCTTGGAGTTGGTCTCAGAGTTTGCCAAAGAGACCAGGATGAGTTGTTGGGCGGTCGTCGTCCATTTGAGGGAAATAGGGGAGATGGGAGGATCAAGGGCCACTTTATAAGCTCTGAGAGGATGCGAAAGACGCGGGAGAGTGTATAGCGGAAGCTGACCAACTGATGCCGAGCATGCGCTTCAGGGCCATCGAGTAGATGGACACATCACAATAAGTCAGTCCAAGTCATTGAAACTGTGTAGACATACGTGTAGCTCGGCAGAAGCCCGAGTTATTTATGACTTAATTCACACCTGGACCCGACTCCGACACGTCGACTGGTATTTACCAAATTTGCACTACAACTATACATACCAACGCAAGCAGCTAACCGATCGGGCAATGCTTGCACATCATACATTCTAGGCGCTGGTCAGCCCTTGATCCCGTCTACGATAATGATCCAACAAACACTCTCATGGATGTCCCTTCCAAACGAAATGATGATAGAATCCCTTTGGTTCTGTGCTGCCATAGACATTCTCCATGTCCGCCTCGTCAGTTTCATCTCCGCTCGAGCTTTCCAAGCAAATTGATCAATCTTCCAGCTCAACAAGTTTCACAGGGAACTTGTCGACAAATCTCCAGAGCTTCAGCTCATCATCCAACTCGCCAAAGATGGCATGGCGCCGGCACATCGCGCAAGCTCCGCGTCGATCCACTCCATGCTCACCTTGTACCATGACCCGCCGGAGATGGAACGCACTTGCACCTTTGGACCCGGTGTTATCCCCACCAACGGCTCAAGACTTTAACATCTACGAGTTTGGCGGCAGTATTCTGGCGTATTGTACTACTTATCCCGGCGAATCTGATTGCGTGAAATTCATCTCACTGGATCATCCAAAGAAGACGGTAGTTGAGCCCGTTATACTTTCGTTCAAGTGCTTCGAACTCTCCTGCGATCCTGGCCAGCACTTGCTCGTCGTTGTCGAGGACGCTGCGACGTGAGTATAATTCGAATATGCTTCTTTCAAACTGATCACATAGTGCAGAGACTATCCAGTACACTTGATGAGCATGCAGACTGGCGAGTACCACCATCGTGCCGCCACTCGGATCTTCCACAATCTGAATGTCGCAGGGTATACATCACCTGACATTGCGACATGCATATCCGGGGATATCATATCTTTTGTTTACTCGCTTACCGAGGCTAGAGCCGAAATAGGTGTCGCTGTCGTCAACTGGGCCACTGGGGCAATTCTCGTGCGTTCTTTCCTGGCCCTCATTCATTGCTAACATGTCAGGAAACAGTTGAGTTGCACATTCATCGGCGCACTCCATACGACATTGCTCTCGTCGCGCTTCCTCATAGTCGCATTTTGCACCACTACCGTCGCACCCGACGACGCACACCTCAAACTTTTCGACCTCGAAACATCAAGTCCACGAGATACATCTCTCGTCCTTCGTCTCCCAGCCTTTACGCAACATTCGACCCGTCGCTACTCTGCATCCTACTTTCTCCACGGCTCGAACAACGCCATATTATCCCAACGCACTGATGGAACGATGAGGACGGGTGAACGTGACATTGTAACGCTCTTTATTAAGGCCACCACCGTCGACTCGGATGCCGTCGTTCGCAAAATGCTCGTGTTCATCTCACGCGCTCGTTTACTCTCATTGGCATTCGAGTGGTCCCAAATGCCACATCATAGCCGCCCAAAGAGACACGTTCTGGCCTATGAGACGTGGACAGGCCACGGCAAACATACACGGTGGATTGACATTCTCGGGGTACGGCTCATGAGCCACAAGAGCATCTATGGATCCAAGTGCGTTTGCTTGGCTAATCCAGCCGATATGGGTGCGATATTACCGTTGGGTCAAGAAGGGAATTCGACAGATTTATGCGTGCTCGAGTTTAATGTAGGCCGCGACCCTACTCCATCGAATCCGGCAGAAAAGTCGTTTCTGGTGCGCTCGACGGACAAAGATGGATGGATCACACGCGAGCTGGATCAAGATGTACGTGGGGGGCTACCATTTCGGGTGCGTTGGACGCAGATGGATAATGCAGCTCAATGGCAAGACCTGTTCGTGGATCAGGAGTATCTGATGGCGAGATTGGTGGGCCCTTTCCTTTTTGTTTCGCATCTGTGCTGACAAGCTTAGGATGAGGGCTTTGCAATTTATAGGGTGTAAGGTACAGTCATTGTAAACCAGCTGCTTCATATATTCATAATACGACTATTACTTTCGTGTCTATGCTCCTCGTCCACTGTCCAGGAACTTCTTGATGTCCAGCCCATAATATTCGCCTTCCTTGCTCTCCCCATCTTCTCGAACGATTGCCTTGTAAAACTGACGACCGTTGTCGTTCCTACTATCGATACCCACCCACAACCCTTTTCACCGTCTGCCTGGACCTGCAGCGCCGCCTGTCGAATCATCTTGGTGCCCCACCCTTTCCTGGTGTGGTGGGAGGATATTGATATGAAGAAAGCCGGGTAAACATCGAGAACTTCTTGACCCGTCAAAGCTGGGTTAGCAATGAAATCCAGATAATACAGCTCTGCGCCCGTGTAGGCGTCGCGGTCTGCATCTTCGGGCTTAGGGTAGCGTGGGCGAAGGGTGTACCAATTCTTCTCTGCATCCGCTTCGAATGCACGGCAGTTGGATGAGCCGACGACGTAGCCGACGACATCCTTTTCCACGCCGGCATCGTCGGTCTCGACGAGGACGTAGCGCCATGCGCTGTCGAGATGGAGGTATGGGACGGCGTAGACGAGACCTGGCATTTCTGGTTTTTGAAGAGATGTTCGGCAGACTTGCCAGCGTCGCCTCAACAAACAGATGCGCGACACGGCTCCTTCGTCTGCGAGTGTGGCCTTGCGGAGGTGGAGTGGCATTGTCGATGGGACGTTGCTAATCCTGAGAGGACAAAGTGAGTTAAAGTAGGTGAACTGGACGACCTGTCTATAAGTACCTTGTGTGCGAGGTAGTCGAACCGGTGGAGAGTTGTTGGCGGGAGTCTGTCACTCACCATCGCTTGGAGTGGGTAGAGGGTTTTATAAGCGTGAACAGCCTGACGCACATGCTCAGAGGCGGCTCATTTAGCTCCAGCTTCGTCCGGGAATCGCTCGCAGCCAGCTGTATAAGCAGCCATCGCGCCCGTAGAGAGATGACTTACGAAATGCTTCCAATCGACACGACGAAACCTCGGATAATCTTTATCTTTTGATGGTGCGGTGGGTGCGGCGAACTTGGATCGTTTAGACTTGACCATCACTGCGGTCATGAAAGCCGTCAAGGGCGTCTTGATCACTTGGTGAGCTGAGATGACAAATGGGCTGCTACGTCGTTCTAATCAGTTTTTCCGCGCGCGGGGTTTGGACCGAACCAATCACAGCGATGCAGCCGTCAAGCAAATTCTGTTGCAAATGAACGAGAGGCGGAGGGACGAGGATAGATTTGTCATCGAGGACCTTGACCAAACTCATTTGCTGATCAAAGCGGACGGGGAGGAGAACATGAGGGCCGAGCTGGAGTCCGAGGTGAGTGGGCAACCCAGGGGGCGTAGTGGGCAATCTGACCACAGTATCAGCTCGAAAAGAACACGTATAGCTTGGAGCCATAGTGTCGAGCAATCGGAGAGCAGACCGTATCAATTTTGGTCGGCCACAGTTGCAACCCCCGCCTTACCAAGGCCCAAACTGCGAGGAAATTCCGAGCATCACATCGAGTGCCATCTTTTGCATACCATTCGAGATGCGAACGCAGGTTTCCTGATGCCTGTACAAGTACAATAATGATATTTTATCAAGTCACGGGTTGCGCCATCATATTGATACTTCTAAGAGGTACAGGATTGCGTGATTGAGGACTACGAAGGTGGTTTCGTGAGCAGGTCGGTGACCTTTTGCTCGACTTGTTCTGCAGAAAGACCTTCAAGCTCGACGTGACGCTCTACTCCTCGTTCTTTAAGATGCAAAAGAATGTCGTTAGCTTCATAGACAGAGAACACCAACCACATACCAAAGCGGGCAAAGGCACGAGCTGGCGTTCCTTGGGCTTCTCGAATGAGCACAGGGAGATCAGGATTATTCTTCTTGATGAGTGGATATGCGGAAAGAACAAAGTGCCTGCTCAACCAGTCTCGTTTTAGCGCATTTGCTCTGTCGAAACAAAGCCACAAGTACAAATACGGACCTTGTACCAGCAGAAGCTGTTCCAGTTTGACAAAAGAGTAGACGGATTTCTCTCAGTGCTGGCGAGAGGACAGCGTTCAACGACATGGCGAGGTCCAAGGTTACTTTACTCGTCGGCGGAAGTCTACGACCGCTCGAAGGTAGACTAGACATATATCAAAAAGTTGATAATCATTGCAATCTAAACGAAGCTGGTCATGGTAACCTTATCGTCTTCACTTGAACCCGTTCACATTACTTTCGACCTTTTGGGCTCCACAACATGTCGTCCATTGTCGCCCACAGACTGCTCATGCGCAGTGCCTTGCACGCAAAACCTTTCGGAATCTCATCTAGGCGCGTATTTAGCCGATCCGCGATGCACAACCTTGCCGTCGTAAACGCACGCGGGTTCGCCATCTCTGCGCGTCTTGCGTCACCCGCAGCGAAGCCAAAGTCCAAAACAACAGCTGCAAAGCCTAAGACGGTGAAAAAGAGTGAGTAGTCATGGGACTTTTGAAGCGCGAGACGGTTGGGGATTGATGGCTCGGTGGTTACACCTCGTAGGTACGACGACAAAGGCGAAGAAGACGACGAGGAAGAAGGCTGCTCCCAAGCGCAAGACTGCTACAACTGCTGCAAAGAAGAAGGCGGCACCAAAGAAGAAAAAGGCGGCTCCCAAGAAGGAGGAGAAAGCTCCAACGCCACGTACCGATCGTGAGTGAATAACAGACGTGCATAGAATTGGACAAACTGACATGATGTCACGTGTAGCTTCACTTCGTCCCCCTCCGCGCCGTGTCTCTGCCTTGACCATGTTCGTCAAGCGCATGTATCCGACTCTCCAGCCCAAGCCTGAGAGGCTACAGCGGGGTTGATTCAACTTACTTCAATGTGGAGTGGAATGACAGATGCGGAGAAGAAGGTGTGCTCTGTCCACTGCCGACGAGGTTTTTAGCACTAAGCCGTCGATAGCCTTTCGAGGAGGAAGCCGCTACGGAGCGAGTCAAGCGTGCCCAAATTTACGAAAAGTGGCGTGCGGATCTTACACGAGAGAGGTCAGAACCATCAACGAGTATCTCACAAAGAGGGTGCCCATAAAAGCTTGGGCTGTGACCGACCGTGAGTACACGAACAGTTTATAAAGCCGTCGTGTATAACATGTTGGTTTAGCTACGAAGAAGAGGGCCCCTACCGGATTCGTCAAGTTTTACGCCGAGTCAATGAAGAATGGGACGATCGATGTTTCAAAGGCACCCGCAGGCCAGAGACCAGCCACATATGGGGCAGTAGAAGCTGCAAAGCTCTGGAAGAGCATGACCGAGGCCCAAAAGGCGGTATGTTTACACCTTCTATTCAAACTTGAAGCCTTTTGTCTCACGACTCGTTGCAGGTTTACAAGGCTTAAGGACGCTGGGTGACGGTCGACTCTTTGTACACTATTGTCAAGTGTTTGCCATCTGGCCGCGGTTCCGCCCAGCTCAAGGATAGCCATCAAATAGTAACTCCATCTCGATTTATAACTTTTGGACCGAATGTGGCTCGTATACCTGCTAGTCATTCGAATATCGAATGAAACCAATTCTCCTTCTGCCAAAGTCTGGCGTGTTCCGCCACTAGATGAAACAAAGTTTGTGCATGCGGCATACGTTTTCATTGTGCATGGGAGTGCGTATGCGAAGCGATACCGATAACGTACAAGAAGGTTGCTAGCTGCTACGAACGGCGAGACCAAAAGTAAAGGCACATCTACTCGGCGTCGACGACGGTTGTTTGCAGACCCTACCGACAACGTGAGCATGAATCAAGGTGACAGACAGAAAGAGAATGTACCTTGAACGACTCGACCGGGACGTACGAGGCATAAGTGTACAGCTTTTCTTTTGCACCCTCGTCGTCATTTCGCTTTCCTGTAAATCAATGTAAACGTGGATTTGATACAAATAGACATGGGACGCACGCTCAAGCTTGAGACGCATGCGATGGGGGACGCTCTTGACGCCACGGCTCCAGAGCTGTTGGTTGAGTTTTGGGTCAATGCGAACGTCTGAAGTACCCATGTGCTTTCGAGCAAACTCGACGACGGACTGGTCGGGGATTGTGTGAGTTGGGCGCATCGCAGATCGAGTTGAGAGGATCCAACGTACCTTGACGGCCCATGGTGCACGCTTCTTAAAGGATCGACCGTGTACGCGCTTGTGGAGGTGGATAGTGTACTCGCGGGTGACAACGTCGGCGAGAGCGCTGCGCTTGCCGGTCTATGGGATGAACATATTGCAGTATTGGTACGATTAAAAGAGTAAAGAGCAGGATCTGTTAGCCAGATTCATTGAAACGCCATAATGTAAACTGACCTTTTTCTTCTTTTCGGTGGGGGCCTGTCGTCGTCCAATAAGTCCAGTGCATGATAGGTTTATACAGTGATTCGTTGCGTAAGAGCGTCATGGCGAGTCGTTTGAATCATCCAAGTGGTATATCGTGCAAAAGCCGGCATAGGTGACAATGTGAATTCCAAAGGTATTAACAGTCAGTATACAGCTGATCAATAATGATTTGATGAATTTTGCTTGCCATTTGTGCAGATGGGCGGCGGGAGTGGTGGTCGAGGGATCGGTGTAAGGGCGACAAAGTTTGGTGGACCCCGGCGGCCGGCCTGACCCCAGTTCTCTGTACTCTGTGCGCATCCATAAAGTCGACGAGTTTGCTAGAATTACCATGCGACTGGAAGTGTTTCAATCTTTGAGCTGCACAGATGCTGCACCATGACAATGCTGGATGCGTGCGCTCGTTCTCGTTCATCTAGTCGAGGAAGCGTCAAGGTCTCTAGTTCTACGAGAATAATTCTATCCGATCGTGCGTACCAAGTCGTCTATACTCTCCTTCGCTGACCACGTAGTCACTGCCAACGTTGGACAACGCCAAATCAATACTAGGGCCATCATTGGAGGAGCCGTTGGAGTTGTCGTTCTTTAAGCGTGATTGTTATTGGATTTTCCATCCTCTTCTCTCGTCAATCCCGAAAGAGGCACTTGACAGAACGTGGAACCCCCAACGCCTCATTCGTGCCGGCTTCCCAGTCATCCGCATACCCTTCAACGATGTCCTGGTTAACACTAGGCACATCCTTTCCATATCCATCTAATACTCAATCTCCTGCTCCTCCATCCTACAGCGAGCCAAACGAGACCAGATTGACGTTCCCAGTGTTACAAAACCGACCTAACGAAATAAAGTTACACGAGCCATCAGGTAGCATATCCGAACGAGTGGTCACCGACATCATCGGGCAGTATGCTCAAGCCAAGACCTCATCTCGCTGGAGAGTAAATTGCGCACTGCAAGCTACCTTCCAACGGACAACTCAAGTGAGATTCCAATGTCAGATTGGCAGACAGCTGGAGTGACAACACTCGAGCTAAGAAGATTGCAAGAGGCGTACGACCGGTAGGTCAACAATGTGGTGTACTACAGGAACAAGCCGCTGGGAAATAAAGAAGAGGACGTTCATTCCACTGGACAAGGAGGATATTCGTGGTGTCCCCCTTGATCGAAATCTCGGTGCATGAACAAGTCTAGTTTGGACCGCCGAAACAGAAGCCAATGAGGACTGACTTGGGTTATGTCGGCTGACGGGGATCATCCAGTCTGATTGGTACTGAATTTTGTCTCGGAGGAACAGACTATGACCTGTTGGGAGTGGCGACGAGATCACAAAGCCAAGGTTGAGCCCCTCGCGGCGGCCGGGGTAACGGTTTGTGAGGGTAAAAAAGTTGACTGGACGGTGTCTGAAAAAAGCAAAATTAGACAAGCGACAGCGGCGGAGAGAATAGGAGGTCTGGCCGAATGAGCAGACGGAGCGCACGGCTGGAATGGGCCGACCTTTGACTTGTCCCAGTCTTTATTCGACGCTATTGTCCTCCTCCTGCTACCGCCAGGCACCACGAACGCCAAATGGGCCCCTAGAGGCGAGCAAATAGCATAAATACCCACGGAGTCTCCATGCCCCCCGAGGCCGCAGAGGCTTGTACCCGCCCTCGATCCCCCCCTTTTACTCTACCCTCGCAAACCAGAGTCTACACCAACGACTCTACGTGTAACCTATCTGTACAAGATCAACATCATGCGCACTTTTACGTTTGCCGTCCTCTCCCTCGCCGCCGTCGCCTCTGCGGCCAACATCGGACGACGCCAAAGCCAACCGCCAGCCTGTGCGACCCGCTGCTTGAACACGGGCACAAATAATGTTCCAACGGGTAGTTGCGACCCAGCAAACTTTGCGTGTCTGTGCTCCTCGGTAGAATATGTTCAGGGCGTTATCAACTGCCTCGCCACGGTATGCATCCTTGTTTTATTCTGTTTTTCCCCTTTTCTCACTGCTTTCTCAGGACTGCGCAGACCACCAGGACCTACTTACGTCCATTCAGTACTCGGCTGGATTCTGCGGAGTCGCTGTACGTCTCTTCTACCACGATTATAGAATATCATGACTGACTACAAAATACAGGGCGTTAACTCGCAACTTCCTGTAACCACTCCGACCGCCCAGCTCACGCCTACGTCGACCGGGAGCCATTCTACATCGTCGAGTGGTACCTCTTCCGCTTCGTCGTCCAGCAGCAGTGGAAGCTCTGGAGGCGATGAACAAGGCTACCTTTCCGGGGCAACTCTTGGTGCCCTTGCCCTCGCCGCTGTCGGTCTCGCCTTTTAGACCTCTACACGACCATGAAAAGACTACAATGACCATTCACTTTTCTCTAAAGGATGTCGCTCTCACTCTCCTTGTCATCACGCCACCAAGGACAACAGGGACAACGCTTTCGATTCGTTGTGTGCCATACTTTAGCCGTGTACTTTCTTCGTTCTGCTATCTGCAACACGCAAAAAGAGTGACATATACACAACTTGTGAAGCAAGTCCCGAAAAATTTGTCAAGATGGTTCGACCCGCTGTCCTCAGGTGTATAACAGGCTGGTTACCCACGTTCCTTATGTCCAGGTGGATGCAAATGATGCACCTTTACCTGGGGACATGTTCACCCAAACCATAAAGGTGAAACGCGCCCACTGATTCTGCCGTGCGAACGTGTCGGTACAAGAATCGGACATCCTCAACACAGACGGAGCAACCTCTGGTAACCCAACAAAAGGAAGAAATAACCATCTGGTTCGTCTTATCGAGAAGGATGCTGACGTCTAGGAGATTGCCGGCTAACGAGAACCGGTCGACTGGCAGCGCGCGCGCCTCGTGTTCGCCCAACTAGGCCACTTGGAGCCAAAGGTGCCCGAACGATGGATTCGGTCATCAAAAGCACAGGCGTAAAGGGTTCATTTCAAAGATAACTGTATCAGTACAAGAGTGTTGAGATGGATCCTTTGTACGCCTCGAGATAGGTCACCATGCCATCTACCAAACCCGCCTTGAGGCTCCCATCCCAAGAGCGCACGAGCCAATGTCGGTCGCAGTCTCGTCCTGCAAAAAAAATCCAATCAGTCAAACGCTAAATTTTATAATTAACAGGGAAACACTTACGTAACAGCCATAGCCTCTTCGAGCACGTTGGCGGGTGGTCGATAGGTCACCTTGCCGAGTGATACACCCACCACCGTGGCAAATGCATAATCCGGCCAATTGTCGCACTCGTCATATCGTGTCTGGAGGCAGGTCCTTTCCGCCCCAATCGCATCATTAACGAAGCACCGGCTGATGGACTTGCCCAACTCTAGGAGTTCAATGACACGCTGGAGCTTGGCTGTGGGGTGTCGACGCATCTTAGTTCAATGCCCTCTGCTCGTTGAAGCCCTCTAATATATACCCAGAGGTCACATGATCTCAAACTTTAATCTTACCAGGTCACATGACGAAAAGGTTCAAAACTGTTCCAATGAGTGGCGTCGCCATTTCTCTCAGATCTCGCCCATTTCTTTACTTGTAGTTACAAAGGCGATACTCATACAAAGATAAGAAGCTAATCTATCTATCATAAATGTTTCATGAGTTTAGTATAGGCCCTCATTGAGTAATCGGGCCGACAAGCCACCTGCGACCAACATTGGAACAGTTTTGGAGCCCACTGTACGTTCTGGGCTATATTGGCTTAGCCCGTGGTGCTAAAAAGAGATATTCATAGTTGTGAATTACATACTTGAGGATACGAGTCGACTCAGGGTGAGAAGTATCGTACGTCATCTGTCACTTAGCGAGTAGTGACAGCATACATGAACACAATCCACCCTCTTCACATGCATGAAGGACGCACGCCATCTGTCCATGATCTCCGCGTCATATTCTCAGGCGGTCCGCAGGAGCGGCAAGGTTAATCGGATTTTATAGTCCCCACTGGGCACTAGTACCAATTATATCCTAAGCTGATACATTTACACACAACTATGAGCTTGTTCGAACTTTGGTCCACGACGTTCCACACTGGAAATTAGTGAAATCGAGTTTGGTCGCTCTAAGGTGACTTGAAATGGGCATAGTCAGAGCAAGACGTGGGTGCTTCAGCCCATGGCGATTATTAGGTGGTACCCAGAAGAGGTATTGACCAGAACACTGTACCCATCCATTGGGCAGCAAAGAACAATCACCAAATCCGGGTATAAAGAGAACTGAATCAATGGAAGGAGACTTGATATTGCCTGAGGGACGTGTTCCGTTTTGTAGATTACCTAGTTCCAGCATACGGTCAGTCGCCATAACAAACTGACATTACAAACCAAAGAGATATTCAGGATCGACTCACCATTGTCTGAGCTCCAGATTTGAATTGTCCTATCAACGGAGCCAGAGACAACTTGTTTACCATCTGATGAGAACGCGACAGTATTGGCCAAGAATTGATGACCCCGGAGTGGCTCTCCCACTGGCTGGCCACTCTCTGCATCCCATTGTCGAAGTGTCCTGTCGTCAGAGCCAGAAACGATTCGCGTGCCATCTGGTGAGAATGCGACAGCATTGACCCTCCCTTCATGACCTCGGAGTGGCTCTCCCACTGGCTGGCCAGTCTCCGCATCCCACTGTCGAATTGACTTGTCATCAGAGCCAGAGACAATTCGCGTGCCATCTGGTGAGAATGCGACAGCATTGATCCCCCATTCATGACCTGGAGTGGCTCCTCACTAGCTGGCCAGTCTCTGCATCCCACTGTCGAATTGTACTGTCCAAGATCCAGGAGACGATTCGTGCCATCCGGTGAGAAGCGACAGCGTTGACGAGAAATGATGACCTCGGAGTGGCTCTCCAACTCGCTGGCCAGTCTCTGCATCCCACAGTTGAACTGTCATGTGCTCAGAGCCAGAGACGATTCGTGCCATCTGGTGAGAATGCGAGGCGTTGAGCTTCCCTTCATGACCTCAGGTGGCTCTCCACTGGCTGGCCACTCTCTGCATCCCACTTTTGAACTGTCATGTCATCATAGCCAGAGACAATTCGCATGCCATCTGGTGAGAATGCGACAGCATGGACCCTCCATTCATGACCTTTGAGTGGCTCTCCACTGGCTGGAGTCTCTGCATCCCACTGTCGAATTGTCCTGTCGTAGAACCAGAGATGATTCGCGTGCCATCTGGTGAGAATGCGAGAGCTTGACCGATTCTTCATGACCTCGAGTGGCTCTCCCACTGGCTGGCCAGTCTCCGCATCCCACTGTCAGATTGTCATGTCGTCAGGACCAGAGACAATTCGCCTGCCATCTGGCGAGAATGCAACAGCGTTGACCGAGAATTGATGACCTCGGGTGACTCTCCATTGGTTGGCCATTCTCTGCATCCCATTGTCGAATTGTCCTGTCGTCAGAGCCAGAGACGATTCGCATGCCATCTGGTGAGAACGCGACTGCTTTGACCAAGGAGTCATGACCTCGAAGTGGCTCCCCCAACTGGCTGGAGTCCCTGCATCCCACTGTCGAGGTGAGTTGTCTTTGGGCCAGAGACAATTCGTGTGCCCATCTGCTGAGAATGCGACAGCGTAGACCGAGAAGTGATGACCTTGGAGTGGCTCGCCCACTGGCTGGCCAGTCTCTGCATCCCACTGTCAGAATTGAGCTGTCGTAATAGCCAGAGACAATTCGTGCCATCTGATGAGAATGCGACAGCAGTGACCCCATTCATGACCTCAGTGGCTCTCACTGGCTGGCCACTCTCTGCATCCCATTGTCGAATTGTCCTGTCGTCAGAGACAGAGAGAATTCGCGTGCCATCTGGTGAGAATGCGACAGCATGGACCCTCCATTCATGACCTCCGAGTGGCTCTCCCACTGGCTGGCCAGTCTCTGCATCCCACTGTCGAACTGTCCTGTCTTCAGAGCCAGAGGCAATTCGCGTGCCATCTGGTGAGAATGCGAGAGCTTTGACCGATTCTTCATGACCTCGGAGTGGCTCTCCCACTGGCTGGCCAGTCTCCGCATCCCACTGTCGAATTGTCATGTCGTCAGAACCAGAGACAATTCGCATGCCATCTGGTGAGAATGCGACAGCATTAACCCTCCCTTCATGACCTCGGAGTGGCTCTCCCACTGGCTGGCCAGTCTCCGCATCCCACTGTCGAATTGTCGTGTCGTCAGAACCAGAGACGATTCGCGTGCCATCTGGTGAGAATGAAACCGTTCTGACAACATCCTGGTGACCTAGCAGCGCTCTGGGAAGCCCAGGAAACGTTTCTTCGGCTCCTCTGGTCACCATTACTGAATAAATATGCTTCTTTAAACCTTCTTTAAGTAGTAGCGACTTCAATGGACTGAATGGGAGCGCTGTGATGTAGATATGCGGCGCGCTGTCTTGGATTGGTACAGCAAACGCCATCGGGAATCGTCTGATGTCATTCATCCGACCTCTAACCTCCTCCTCGAGCTATCTATTGCTTTAGCAATCGGAAGGTCTCAGATAAACCGCTCACACTCTTATGTTGCCATGCGGCTCGCAGTCCAGACACTGCCCGCATCACTCCTCCAGTCACGCTCAGGATCTCCATCCAATAGAGTCCGAACGGACTTTTGACTATATGCGCCAGCTCATTCCTTAGCTTGCGTCCCCAGTCACTGTCCATTGCGGCTACATGGAATGGCCAGTGCAAACTAGCATAACGAGGTCTCCGCGGAATGAATTTGGCTCCTCGCTCCTGGAGGTCTGGAATCTGCCTGTTCATGTAGAAGGATGACTCGATATGGCATATGTTGAACCTGAGGCCCTCCGTGCGCGATTTGAGACTGTGTAGACACCAGGATGCGGCTTGACCATTTGCACTGGTGGTATCAATAGCCATTTTGTTGCCACCTTCCTTATTCGCAGTGATGCAGCATCGCCGGAGGTATTCGACAAAGGTGGGATAACGAAACTGGATTGAGTGGATAATTGGGTCCTCCCTCAGTACGCTTCCTAGAATCCGTACCAGCGCTTTGGCACTCCCTTGTCCTTGAGTATGCTCAATGAGATCGTCCAAGTCGTCGCTGGTGAGTGGCTCGAGCGCGGAAAATAGCATACCGTGCATTTCGACGATGATCAGCTTGAACCTTTCGTTAATGCGCTCCAGGACCAGGTCGTATACGCCATCGATCGCTCCAGGTTGATCAATTGACATTAGCCGATCGTATACAACCTTCAGTTTGACTGGAGAAGATTCATCATCCAGCATTCGGCATGCAGTGCTCGCCCAAATGAACAGCCCATTGGCCTTGTTGACCAGTCGCTGCCTCTCATCATGGGTCAGCAGTCCGTCGAGTGATTGATGGACATCAGTCGCAATATCATCGATATTATCGTGATGGATTATCGTGGAGGCGGTCTGTCAACTTGAATTTGAGAAAGAGGTTGTAACGCCCTTTCGATGACAGGATCTGGCCGACTGGTGATGAATATTCGTAAATTCTTGCTCTCCCGAACGGCGGCAGCGAGGTCTTTACAAGTTCTTGTCGCTGTTGTCGAGACTTGCACTCGTCCATGGCGTCTACGACCAGAATCACTCGCTTTTGTTGATACTGGAGTGGGCTACTGATGAGCGTCCGGAACTGTTCATCGAACGAGCTTCGCTGGATGGAAGGGTTTTGCTTCCAGGCCTTGGCGATATATGAACCCAGCTCGGGAATGTGTTGAGCCAAGTCTCTAGCAATGGTGGAACAGAGCTTGTCGGTAGTGGATGATTCTGTTCGACATGGGAAAAGAAGAAGGTGCCACCCAGGATCCTTCGCTTTCCAATGTTCTATAGCGGACATTGCGACTGTTGATTTACCCGAGCCAGCTATGTCACAGAGCCAGAAAATGGGCGTTTCTGATGTCTCCTCTCCGGCCCAACGCCAGATTTCCTGTAGGACGGCCTGGCGGGTTCCCTTGAGACAAGCATTGTGAACCGAAGAAGCAGCAGAAGCAACCATTGGCATCTGGAGTATGGTATTATAGTCGGCTTCCGATGGGCGTTAGTGAGTTCTTCAGACACAAATGATCCAGCATACCTTCTGTCAGCATGGTTTCCATGTCGCGCTTGATAGTTTTGGTGTCGTGCTTGATAGTTTCGGTGTCGTGTTGAATGACTTGAACGCGGTTTGCAGTATAGACATTCAATGCATCCTTCATAAATTAAGTTGATGAATATCGATGATGGCGTTCATACCATAAATTGCCTGTGCTGAGCCTCGATATCTCGATTGAATTTTTGGATATCCCCGGCGTCAATCTTGATGGTACTGATTTCTGCGAAACGTCCGAGTGATTTGCTCCTTTGTTGTTCCGTGCGGTCAACGATCCTCTTATGGAGGTCCTCGAGATGTCTACAACGATCAGTATGATGGACTCGAGTGAATTTCGATTACGTACTTGACATAACGGGTAGTGGTCGACTAAATGCCTCGTCAGGCGGCCCACTGGTATTCTCGCCTTTGAGCAGGGTGATTTGTTCCTCGATAGCCGAAAGATAGTCTTGGAGACGCTGTATAATCTCCGACCAATCTTCGCGGTTGTTCTTTACGCCCTGATTCCGTCCTCATCAGACCAGATGGGTGTGCCAGTCTCGATAACTCACTTGAATGATGCCGATGACCGTCTGGGTTGCTTTACAAGCCGCTTTGAGGGGACCGAGTACGTCTGATGCTTCTGCTATATTCGCCGTAAACTCGAGGAATATGTTTGCTGTATCCATCAGTTTGTCTCCCTTGAGGGAAGGGTCCTCCCTGAAGAGAAGCTGAATATCTGGGTAGATCTTCTTTATTTGCCTGAGATTTCTTGGATTTCCCCACGAGTTTAGAGAAAGCGCGCATGGTAGAGGTCGAATCCAAATGAGGCTGGCAGATTGCCGATTGTCGGCGATTGCCCTTTGGACAGTAGCGCTTATAATCCGGCGACTGTGGATGCAGAGTCTGAGCGAGTTCTAGTTGTTTATGAGAAATGGCTGTTCGAGGGCGACGTCGGCCACACTTGCCGTCTCTGGTTGCCTGCCGCCCTTCCAAATACGGACTTTGTCCCCGACCGCGTCCGTCTATTCTCAACGCCACGAAGAATACACGCGTCTCATCTCATTCTAGACGATATTTCGTTGTCGAAGCCATCTTTTTCATGCCTGTTGTGACTCCCAAAGTCATAGCCGCTGATGGAAAACCTGTTCGACTATCAGCAGGATCACTACCCGCCGCGTTAGGACGAATCTAGTTCACCGTAGAATACGAATAACCGGAATAGTTCGGGTTGCTCCTCCGGTCCCGCCAAGACCACCGACAAACCCCGCTCTCAACAATCAGGCAGCGTATTCACAGGGCAGATACATGCTGGGTGGAGCCGTAGATGCTGGATATGGATACAGTTTGGGTATGTTCATCCTTCCTTTGTTGGGTTCGCCCAGCTGGTATCTACGAACTTGGAGTGGTCTAGTTTGTTGAATCAAGATGAGCTGGCGTATTATTGGACTAAGCTACGATGGTCTATACGGAGGATACTATGACCAACCGACATACGAGAATCCCAACAGCTTGTTCACATCCACTGGCCCAGTTCTCTCGAAGCAGCCGTCCAAGCCTATTTCTTACAGGAAGTCACACCGAGTCCGTACACCGACACTCCCACCTTTTTCTCATCGAACCTCGCCATCGAGGTGGTGGCGAGCGAGTACAATAGTGCGCCTCGCCGTTTAGCGGCGCCAGCGAGTTGGGCGTGCTAGGGAATATCGATGGGCGACCATATTCGACCGTCAATCCGGATTTCCTGCATCTCTCCTGGACAATCAACGGCCAACAACCCCAGCGCCTGTGCCTCCCCAGTTGGGACGCAAAAGGTCAGTTGAGCGATACGCCCGTGATTGGAGGTGGTGCTGGCGGATTTACGACTTGTACTACGAGTAGACATAGTCGGTATGGTGAGGAAGACGGCTTCGTTTAAGGTGTAGATACCAAAGTCCGCTTGGTCCGCCTCGAGTAGGCAGCGCTGCGGAACGTCACAAGCAGGATCGATTCGGCGTCGGTGATTCAGCCCAGATATTCTCGAAGACGATGATAGCATATTTGGTGCGCAATATTTTGTTCCTTGTACAGAAATAGGGGGATTGATGCGTGGATATATCGAGGTACAGCCGCATCCCACAAGGCGTGCCCTGTCAGTACAAGAACAAGAAGCGATATGAGCGCTTCACGAGACTTGGTCATCGACCACAGAGGGCCTAGCAAGCTCTTGGACATGTCACCTCAAAAGACGGAGAGAGAGAGTTCAGGTGTGCGGTGCATTTGACATTGCCTTATTCTTTTCAGTGCTGATTATGTTTCAGGTAGACCGCTGCCGACGTGCGTCGATGACCTCAACGTAGAGGGAAGCACGGTTCGTCCAACTATGTACGAGCAAGCGCGCAAGACGGAGCCCTTCAATGTATTGATCATATACAACAAAAACGAGTAGTTGTTCTGTATGTCCGTATCTTCTCATTTGCCATCCGGTCACAAGATGCTAGGTTGCTGTTTAGATCCATACCGTGATGAATCATCATTTTTCCGCATTGACGAACGTGTTCTCGAGCTGCTTAGCCGTGTTGCTACATGAATGACTACGCCAGTCGCGGCTACACCCAGACAGTCGATGGCTGGAGTCAGGGACGAGAATGCAGGCAATCTGACCAAATCAATGACTGATATTGGTGAGCCCCCCTTTCATGCTCGTATTTCTCAGACGGCTTATTAATACTTGCTCAGTCTTGTGACTCGACATGGACTTTTCATACCTAGTTGCGAACACCTCCCATGGACGAGTGTTTCTCTCAAAGCCGTGTCACCGACCGTTCTTGTCTAATAAGCTTATCGTTGTATACCACTGCTAGTGTTTTGCACCGTATGCCGAATGTAATCTGTCTTCTTGATGACATGTACCTCTCTTTGTAACAACAATCCAGTCGTAGGAAACGGAAAATCTGTTTTCGATCGAAGGGGAAGTTCGCATCAGTGGCGCAGTCGGTTGCCTGTCTAAGCCGGCGAATGTACAGAAGCCGAATATTGGACCCATTGTGTCTATTCAATCGTCGACTTATCAAGAGGAGCAAATATAGAGAGTGTGATCTATTACCCCCATTGCCCGACGCCGTCATGGGACATCGAGCATTAGACGGAGAAAGTACTTCGAGTTTTGAATGCTAATCGTTTGTTGTCGGCTCTATCTTTGAATATACTTCTCTCATGGACGTCTTCCTTTCGGGGTTTCAAATAAATGCCCGCCGCAGCCCGCAGTAGTTTATAAAAGATAAGGGAGAGTCCCAAATCAACGTAAATATCATGGTTCGCCTCACCCTTGAAGCGTTTGCAGCGTCGCTGTGCTTGGCCATTGTCGGCTTTGCGCAACAAGTCCCGGTTGTTCAAACCACGGCGGGAAGATCATGAAGCTCTCTCGGACACGACTTATGCGTATCTCAACGTCCCGTACGCTCAACCGCCCGTTGGACCGCTCCGATTCCTTGCCCCTCGCCCAATTCTCACCCCTGAAACCGAACGCAATGGGTCGACATTTGGCAATTCTTGCATCCAATCCAGTCTCAACGCCAATCTATACCGTCGAGAGTGAGGATTGTCTCTATCTCAACGTATGGACGTCTCCTGTGGCGAACAAGCTCCGGCCTGTATTTATGTGGCTTTACGGTGGTGCATGGACTTCTGGCACTGCCAGTGGCTACTGTATGTAAAAGAAATTGCTACTTTTTAGATGGCTGAATACCAACCATTCTCAGTCAATGATCTCACAAAATGGGCAAAGGTGCGACCGGATATTGTCTTTGTGTCGATAAACTATCGGCTCAATTTTTACGGTTATGCCGACTCACCCGCTCTCTTAGCGACACCAATGCTGGTCTACGCGATCAACGAGCAGCCGTCAGTGGTGGTCGCAAACATAGCAGCATTTGGTGGCGATCCTGTTCATATTGTTCTCGGTGGTCAGTCAGCGGGCTCTGCTAGTGTAGCCGAGTATCTGTATGCATACCGGATCAACCGCTTCTCCGCGGTGCGATTACAATGAGTCTTGGATGAGCGCAAATACGGAGGATTAAGTCATACCAAAATAATTGACCTACGCGACAAGGACAAGACGCCGAAGCAGCCCCGTAGCGCTGGCCAGGGCATCAGTGGATCGGAAAGCGGCTGGATTCGGCTTTATCAGAAAGTTTAGATGAGCCCAGGCGGTATTCAAGGTTGTGAACCCACTTCAGCCAAAGCGGGCCGGTGTCAATGATCTCCAGAAAAGGCCTTGCTCCGGAGTACGATGCTGCGTGGTTGGGTCTTTCTACGTTGGGGCCAGTTGGGAACCGTCCGAGTCTGTCGTTTACTTTTGGTGGTTTGAAGTTGACGGCTATAGAAAGCGATTGCGAAGCAGACTGCGCAGTATGTTGGGATTGACACTGTAACGCCCTTGCGCCTGACGGCACGAGCCCAGTGGGAACTCTCGGGATTAGTTAGCTAGTCTCTGACACTCTAACTAGTCTCTTACACTCTCGAAGCGGCGCAGCAGCTCCTCTCTGTCTCATCCCCAGCTCCTACTCTTCGTTCCCATCCTTCCGCGTTTCTTCTGGCGCTCTCGCGCGTATATAACCCCCATAATCTATCCATCCTGTACATAACGAAGTAACAGATTCCGAATTCCAGCTGTTTCCTCGCCGTTCTAAGTTCAACCCCCGTTAGCGTCTCGTGTCCCTGCTCGCCTCCATTTCCTTCTTCCAGTCTTCCTACGCCTCAAGAAGCTTTCTCGGTTTTCAGTATGGGAGGGCAAGTTGCAGTAGTATTATACCAGGGAATCCATTAGAGCATCAGAATATCGCATTTTCATCCCGACTTGATCCCACTACATGGCGTCAGATCTCACATGGAGCCGCTTTCACCTCTCGGTCATCGACACGGTCGCCACAATGGTCACTAAATAATGAAACAACAGGAACGAAGAGGTATTGGGTGGTGACTCACGTCGTGGAGTTACGCATTTTTCATGATATTGTTGATACTAGGACGCGTGAGGTGAGAGGCAAGACCAGTATATATGGTGTAACAAACCTAGGACGCGTGAGGTGAGAGGCAAGACCAGTAAGGTCTGGCTGTGTCATCCCGCGTCCTTAAATACATTGAGTTACGACGTGAGCTATTACTATTGGCTAAGTCTATTAGTGAGCGCAAGAGTCAAAGGGTGAACCTTCAACAGATATGGGTATGTCCGTAACCTCCTCTTGTTACCATTGGGCCCTGGGTATACCACACGGATAGTCATGGGGGTATTTTGACAGAACGTATTCAGATTCTTATGGCAAACAGCACATGGCTCGCTTGTCACGAGGATTGTTGCATCTGGAGAATCCGGCGCCCCACCCTGCGTGGAGTGAGACCTAGATGAAGGCTGTTGCTCAGCCAAAAACGCAAGGGCCTGCATTTCCATGGGATGCCTGGAAGCACCTCGCATACAACAGTCACGACGCGGGCACTCTGCCTCGCTATGACGCGTGAGTGACTTTTGTGTGTAGTCCACTTATTTTGTATAGGCAGGCCTTCCAAAAAGGTATGGGTATGTTATTGCCGATGCTCCATCCGCTTTCAAAAAGAAACAGGTGAAAAATTGCGCCCTAGGAGAACTACTGGGTCTTTGAACAGAACTGATTTTGCCAAGTTCTAATTAGTATGATATCCCGGCTACCATTTGATTTCACGGGTGACTCCGATGTAGAGATGGATCTGTGCTTGCTCTTTTACCAGGAACAGACGATGGTCTGGCGATAAGAGTCCAAATAGTGAGGTTTGATATATTGCGGTTTGAAGATATCACGAGTGTATAAGATACCCTCAGTAGTTGGGTGAGTGTGTGATGTTGTCAGTATGATCCGGTGCGCCAGGATTATCTCAATTCGCGACCGAATGGCTTTCCGAAGCTGAGTGACCTTTTTGTCGCAATACCTTGAATGCAAATAGATGGCGGTGCTCGCCGGGTGGCAAGGCGGTCGTATGCAGCCCTGGCTCCGCAATCTTTGCTTTCTCCAGCAAGTCGGCTAGATCATCAACGCTGCTGTTACCGTCAAAATCACTAGCGGGTATACTTGCGACTTCCTTTGGAGCTTCCATGCCCAGGTGCGGTGGAACAGTGTGTGAATCCCCTGGAGTTTGCATGGTGGTAATGAAAAGATACTTGAAGGTTATTTACCCATCGCCTGATATGAATATAGAAGTCAAATTTACCCAACGAAGTGCAATATGCACAAAGTAGGGAGTCTAAGAGCAGAGATAGTACCTATGATCTTTTAGTTTGTCAACTACCAACAGAAGGTGTGCATACTGGGACTGGACGAGGCTGATTTGGGCCTGGGCATGTCACGCAATTCGGCAAGCAGATCTTTCTCCTCCCCTATAGCAATGCCTAAATATTTGATGTCGGTTTGTATCACTGTCAACGCTCTCCGACTGCTGCCGGATCTCCAGCAGCGCCAGGTTCTTGCGTCTACTACTTTTGATAATAAAATGTTCGGTATTCCGCCAGGTTATTTTTGATATGAAATGTCATATTGGATCTGATAACGTAGACCTTGTATTCCACAGTAGGCCTTCACAACTTTGCCTGACATGGGCCGAGAATCAGGCCATTCCACGCCATGCTATGCCTTGTCTCATCACAGTAGCATGGCATGACAAATGTCTTGCTCCGATTCCACGCAAATGCGCTTAATAGGGAAAGCAATAGGAAATCAGTCATGGTCAGCAGCAAGGTGGGGAATGGCAGGTGGTTTGGGTTGGCCCTGTAACACTCCACTAATGGTGCATAGGAGTGTATTGTGCGGAGTTCAAGCCCTCCATTGTTTCCCCTGATTTGTCTACTCCGTGTACAGCCTCTTCAAGCCCCAAGACAGTCTCCTCAATTGCGTGACCCGTCTCCAGAGTGTTGGCTCTGTAACACTCCACTAATGGTGCATAAGTGTATTGTGCGGGTTCAAGCCCTCCATTGTTTCCCCTGATTTGTCTACTCCGTGTACAGCCTCTTCCAAGCCCCAAGACAGTCTCCTCAATTGCGTGACCCGTCTCCAGAGTGTTGGCTCTGTCAAATGATCACTTTAAAACTTTGCGAACCTATTTAGTGACTACAACCGTCTTCCATCCTAACTAGGCTGCGACCCCCTATCCTTGGAGACTAACCTGATGACAGGGTACGCCTATCCGCCGTGTTTAGTAAGCAGTTCATATATCCAGATCACCGTACTGCACCAAATCAGGTATACGAGCCAACCTGACGCGCCACAACCAACCCAATGGCCTACTGAACCGGGTTTACGGAAGCCTATGGCATCCTTGATCAATGTAGAAATAGAAAGAAAATACACAAACAAGATGTCCGCAATTCGTCGCATATCATGGCTCGTTTGGCATGGCGCACTGGATCAGGAGACAAGCTACGGCCACATTTGAGGACATTAGAGCCATAAGCGGCACGTATATAGACCAGCTGATGGCGTGTGAATACTGGGAGGCGAAGGCGAAAACTTTGGGAGGTGCCGAAGCTACACCCAGGGCCACAGCGGACCCGTCGGAGGTTATCGTGGGTAGGTCAATCCGCAAAATAGACCCCGAACCCTCTGCATCTCAATCGTATCTAATTCTTCTCAAGGCATTCAAAGGCAGATAACATCAGAAATGATATTTAAGATCGCGCGGTGAGGACCTGCGAGGTTCGCGTGAAAGCTTACCAATGAGTCGTCACGAGGCTAAGTAAGTAAGACTAAGCCGAGGCGAACAGAGTTCACCAGTCTAACACCGTGTATTGACGAGGTGGGTCGACTAGGAGGGTACAGGAAGCTCTAACTAGATGAGACGTGTACATATCATCTTATATAGCGTTCGAGTGGCCGTGGGTAAAGGTTGGAACAAAGATAAAGCGATGGGAAAGCGACGGAGGTCAAGCATGTGCTACTACCTTAGTAACAAGGGTCGATACAATAGAGGCAATGAAGGGAGAAGTAATGAAGGGTAATAAGTCGTATGAGGTGTTTCCGGGTGCGGAGATGAGAGTGTCGAGGTGAGAACTCTGAAACCTTACAGACCATCTCGCTTAATTCGAGGCACCTTGTCTGTTTCTTGTAGATACCCGTGAGCAGGAGGATATATCTAGTGGTAAAGATCGAAGACAGCTCAGGGTAACCGTTATCACGGGGCTGCCCAACTTTGCACTCGCATCATCCTTCAGCTGGTGAATTTCGAGGATTCAAGACCGTATATTGGCGCATTTCTGCCGCGAGAGCTCATCTCATTGAAACCAGCATCGCCTACTGTGGATGGCCAAACATAACCAGTGGGCATCAGGTTTGAACGTTAACAGTCTCAAGAATTACATACTAAACAGTGGATCTAGTGGGGTCATCTGTCGAAGGTTCACCTGCTTGACTCTTATCACTAAAATAGACTTAGTCAATAGTAATAGCTCACATCGTAACTCAATGTATTTAGGGACGCGGGATGACACAGCCAGACCTTACTGGTCTTGCCTCTCACCTCACGCGTCCCTAGGTTTGTTACACCATATATACTGGTCTTGCCTCTCACCTCACGCGTCCTAGTATCAACATCATCTAGTTCACCTTTGGAATGACCGCGTCGGTAGTGCTGAACAATAACAGATTGACTATGACCTCATGGTAAAGTGAAGAACGCGTCGCACTTTCAGAAATTTAGCGACTACTTGAGAGAGAATATACCGACAATCGAATAGACCGAGATCAGTGTCGAGCATCGTCTCAGGGTAGCCGACTTGGTTGTGCAGAATTTCTCTGAGACTCCTGGTCAATCTGCGTTGATAATCAGCGAAGATGAAGAAATTTGGCGTTGACACTTTGTTACTTACAAAGTCAATACGAGAACTGCTCGAAGATTGCGTAGGCATGTTTGCTTCATTTGCTCAGTAGGAAGAAGGACTCTTCTTCGCTCTCAGGAACGATAGAACACGCCTTGACGCTCTCAAGCTGCCCAATGAATGGTCCATGTCCTTCACAGGCCGGGCGCGGATTCCTGCGACGATGAGACGTATCTTAGCAGTTAAGAAGCAAATTTACGTCTATATCGGTGTTTACCTGGTCGCCTGGGTTGATGCGAGTCGTCAAATGAGCTGTGGGTGGACCTTGATCCGCGAAATGTGAACTGGTTGTTGCTCTGATTGATAGCGCTATTGACTGGTATTCACTGAATGGTTCAATTGGCGAGGCTTATCGAGTTGAATTGAATCCTGTCCACCGTGTCCACTGGCCAGTCAACGTCAAGCTCGCTGATGGACATGTCGAAAATGAGTCGAGATCTGTTCAAGAAACATGGCGGATAATCTATTTGCTTGCTCTGCTAAGTCTGTAATGGTCGCTGACTACGAACTCTTTTCTGGCAGAGTCCCAGGTTCACAAAACGATTCATCGTCGAAGGTCTTTATAGCACTCGTTGGAGACCGGCTTTTGCATCTCTGGCGCGCTTAGAGCGACGCTGCGATTCGCCATCTGGGCGTGGCACACACCAATCGCCGTCGTCATCCCAGAATTTTATTTCGACTCGTGTCTAGCAGGCGACTATTATCAAGCAACCGAGTTCTGTGTGCTCGGCGTCATTTCTGCCTCGACCTCACCGACATTTGGTTGCCCGAGCTCACGCTCGAGGGCGTCCTAATCTCTTCAAGACCATCTTTTCAGTCCGAGTGCGCTACCTATAGAGCAGACAATCTAAGGTAGAATCAGAGGCCTCGTCGTGTAAAGTGATGATGCACGAGATCATTTGGACGTCTACACACCGTTGCTCACGTCCAGAAACTTAGCACTGGCCCAAGAGGTTGTACTCTTTTCTATTCGCAAGCCCCAACTGATTCGCGAGTCTAGGTCGACGTCTTGAAGTGGGTCTTTACACAGACTTTGCAAAGGTATCGAAGACTATACAGTATGACTCAGCTGCGTGCGTGTTATCATCCTTTACATAGTACAGTGTTCATTCCTAGCGAACCATGACAAATACAGCGTAGTCGCCTGTTGAACTCAGTCCGATTTGATTAAGTGAGGCACTTTGCGCCCAATGGCTCGTATGAAACCATGGACCAGGCTCCATGAGAGCATCTTAGTTGCGAATGATTTCCAGTCCTGGAGTTTCATCTCCGATTGACCCGCTCATCCTCCGCGCGACCAGAGACAGACCGATTCTTCTTAGGTGAGTGTTCACTGGTCAGGGTTGAATATCTGAACGGCTATATATAGATTCGACTGTTCTTCGTATCTCCGGGAGTCGTGCACATTTGACTGACTCCCGAGCATTATTACGTGACGGGTAACCAGCGGGAAATAGACACGTGTCCCTAGATTCGGCCTTATTCTAATTGACCACTGGGATCAACCAGCAACACTGCATCCTACATAGCCATCGTACTCGAGTAACAACTGAGTAGAGATTACCAGACAAATCCAATCAGTCAAACCTAAATTTTATAATTAACAGGAAACACTTACGTAACAGCCATAGCCTCTTCGAGCACGTTGGCGGGTGGTCGATAGGTCACCTTGTCGAGTGATACACCCACCACCGTGGCAAATGCATACAAATACCGTCCACAGACTCGGTTCGTTCATTAGTGCAGTCGAGGATAAGACCACTGATCAGATGATTCTGTAATTATAGCAGTCAAGCCCCTCTCCTCGAAAGGAAGAACCGGACCAGACTCACCTTTTTGACTGCTCGAAGAAAACAATCCGCCAGATCATCAACGTGGACGAGGGCATAGGACCCTCCCGGCGTTCCAAACCATTCCAACTTTTCCACCGACGGAGTAGCTTGGGCGAATAAAGACGAGAACAGGCTCCCCTGTCGACCATAGACCAAACTTGGCCTGATGACAATCCCCCTGACAATCTCACTCTTTACCACCTGGTCTTCCACAGCTGGACGCCAGGCCACAAATAAAGGCGGGGTCGGAAGGACGTGTCAGGCGTAGCTGGCTACGCTCCTCACCGTGCACCCACGTTCCAGAGGTGTAGATGTACGCCAGTTTGGGAATGTCCCCGATTGCCAGGACGGATCCGAGCAGCAGAAGAGGTGACGACCTGGAAGACGACGAGCATTCGTGGCAATGTCGCCTGCTGCACAGTCGACTACAACGTCTGCGTCGACAAGGTGCTTTTCCATGTTGCAGGATCAAAATATCACCAATGAGTGGGATGACTGCAAATATCGTCAGCGATATGAAGACGAGGAGAACAAGGTACATATTTCGTTTGCACGCATGAGCTGCGCATTCTTCTCACTACGCGATACGCCGTAGACTTGATGTCCGTTGCGTACAAGTGCATGTGCTACAAGGAATTTAGGTCACATCCTCTGATAGTCCAGTCACGTACCGACAGGTAGCCCAATGAAGCCAGTACTTCCGAATACGATCACTTTCATTTCGACTTGTCTTCAAATCTGTTGTCCTTTCGAGATGAGAGGTGCCCCAATGGTACTTATACTCATGAAAGCGACTATATGAGCGCGGGTGAGCTCATCTTCCGATGTTTATCTGTCATCTTCGGCTTGCGCGCTCCGCACACGGCAGCCCTGCCACGGTTTACCTATCGGACGTCCGATGACCCAGGTCAAATGTTTACTCTGAGCGCTCAAACCTCTTGACTAGAATAGATATGCAATAGGCCTATAATCAACTAGGTACATTCTCGACCGCAGAATTTGCGTATCACATGGACTGGCTGATAAACCGTTACTTTGATTTAGACGCGTTGATTGCCTTCCACGCTTCAAAATGAGCCGCCATTCCGTCTGTCAACGAGGCCTTGCGAGGTTCCCAGCCAAGTAGACTGCGTGCGAGCGTTGGACGAAGTTTGGTCCTGTCATGAATTGTCACTGAGGATCGCTTTCAAGAATAGTGGTACATACGTGACGGACATTGCCCTTCGAGTGGATTCGCAGGCGCTCGATAGCTGACATCGCTATGCGAAAGCCCCATCAAATGTGCAAACAGGTACAGAATCCGTCGACGGATTCCATGCGCTCATGGTCACATCGATGACTAGACCAGAGACCAAATGGTTCTATACAACCGTCAGCAGACCAGAAAAGACGTGATATCGGTGCTTACCTTTTCGACAGCGAGGAGGTAGCATTCCGCCAGGTCGTCGACATGGACAGTCGCATACGTGCCACCGGGAACGCCAAACCATTCGACTTTGCCGCTCCCAGCTTGGGAGAAGAGCATTGTACAGCCCGCCCGCACGTCCGTGGACTGTGCTCGACCGGATGACAATTCCGCGCACGACGCTGCTGTTAACGACGGCTTGTTCAAGTTTTGGACGCCATGCGACAATCTAGTTGATGTCTGTATCAGTATATATATCGTGGACGGTGAGAGCCGCTTACCATTGGAGGATTCAAAGGTGCATTGTCACTTCGCAGGACAGAGCGATTATCACCATGGACCCAAGTACCAGAAGTGTAAAAGTAGGCAATCTTGGGGACGCCCGTGCTCGGAGCCGCACGAATAGATGGGTCGACGACGAGCGATTCAATGAGCGCAAAGCGCCGTGGTCCATCGTGTAGCATGTCGCCAGATGCAACATCAATGACTACGTCGGCGTCGGCAAGATGTGCGGAAAACGTTTCTGCAGCAAATGGATCCCCAACGGCTGGGATCACTAGAAGCCCGTTAGTACAAGGGATGTAGAGACGGAACGGAGGTGGCGCACCTTCTTCTGCAAGTAGCTTTCTCGCTTGTTCTGCGTTGCGGGTCACGCCCACGACGATATGACCGTTGCGAATAAGCGCATGGGAAATGGCACTACCGAGTGTTGAACAGAGTATACTTAGGCAAGTGAGCGTTGTAGTCAAACCAGTGGATATATAGTGAGCTACCTTAGGCAAGTGAGCGTTGTAGTCAAACCAGTAAGGTTTGACTACGGCTGCTCACTCGCCACTATGTACATAGACGAGACAACAAGGCAATAAACTAACACGACCCCCTGACTTGGTGACTCGTCGATGTGCGACCCCCTGACGTGAGGGAATTATCATGAGAGACCAAGTTTACCTCGAAGGTATTCAAACTTGATGCGACCAAGGGGTTTGGTGAAGATGTCAGCGACATTTTCAGAGGTCGGAACATGCTGTACACGGAGTTCCTTGTTCTCAACGTGCTCGCGAATCCAGTTGTATGCACGGTGAACATGCTTCATGGTTGTCTGGTGTTCGGGATTTTTGACCACTTGGATGGCTGATGCACTGTCGAGGTAGAGGGGATGGTATAGAGATGTCATAGCCGATCTCTTCGAAACTGGCGCATCCACATTATCTCGCATCCCGCAGCAGATGCTGTTGTATTCAGACTCTGTGGATGAGAGTGAGACATGTTTTGTAGTCGACTACCCCACATGACAGCTCCTGAGCCAACTGAGAGGACATATCCACCAGTGGATCGTGAGTTATCTGGGTTCCCACTCAGGTCGGCATCGCTGTGGGCAGTGAAGAGGTCGGTGGAAGAGGTGGGAGAATAGATGAGTTTGAGATCTTGCGAGCCTTTGAGGTATCTGAGGACATGCTTGGCAGCATTCCAATGCTGTTCTCCTGGAGTTGGAATTGTATCGACACAGAACACCAACAGCATATGAGATGTCAGGGCGAGTTGCAATTGAGAGGTATAGAGACGGCCTACGGCCTCTCTGTATGGGATGCTTTTCATTCGCTCCTTTTGTTCAGCTGTTTTGGACTCATTTCTGCTGAGAGTCGAAGCCCATCAGGCATTGGCGTTGGAGATGGGGTACAGTCGGTCATATTGTAGTCTTCAAGTAGCTTTTGTATGTATGCTGGCTGTGAGAGAGCAATTGTGCGACTTGTGCGATCACGCTCAAGTCGAATTCAAATATCTGGGTTGTCTGGCCTTGGTCATGGATTTTGAAGCGTTGCTTGAGTTCCTCCTTGACTTTGTGGATTGCGGGTGAGACTTGGAAGCAAGAGATGAGGTCGTCGACATGGACAGGTATGATAATCCGCACACCGTCGCGTTGGTAGACGAAGACACTGTGGTCGCATTCGAGTCGTTTGAAGCCTATCTCAGAGTACTCTGTGCAGCTTCACTGACCAAAGTCGCGGCCCCTGTTTGATACCATATAGACCTTTTAGCAGTCGGAGTACCCATTGATGTGACCCGTCGGAGTCTCCATGTATTGTTAATCCCTCTGGCGGCTGCATGTACACTTCTGCATCTATTTCGCCATTGAGGAAGGCTGTAGAGATGTCGACACTCTCCAGTTCCATGTCCTCAACTGCTGCTAGCGCAATGACTGTCCGCAGTGCTCCAAAGCGTGCTGTAGGCGCAAAGGTTTCGGTGTAATCTACACCTTCGCGCTGAGCATAGCCCTGCAACAATACGACCTTTGTACTTGTCAATTGACCCATCAGGGTTACGTTTGATCTTGAAGACCCAACGACATCCTATCGCCTTCTTTCCATGTAGCCACTGACCTCCCAGGTTCCATTTTCCAGGTGAGCGTCAATCTCTTTGACTGCCGCTTCGAGCCATTTCTCACTATCAGGACGTTCTAACGCCTCAGCTAGGGTGTTGGGCTCGAGCTTTGCAGACGTTTGGAGGGCATACTCGACGCCATCAGCCAGTGAGACCAACACATATGCTGTGTCTTGTTCTATTGACTGTGCAGCATCTGCAGTCTCATTATATGCTGGGTGAGCTGATCAGAGTCTGCCGCTTGCCTGGCAGGCTCCTGGAAATTTCTCGAAGTGCTCAGGAGCCTCTTGGTCTCCTGGGTAACTCCGTACTGTTGCTTGGCGCAAGATGTCTGTACTGAGCAGGGAGATCTAGTGTGACTCTCGGTGGCTCTTGGGTATCGTTGCCATTTCCATCGTTGTCATCGTCAGAGTTGCTGAGATCAAGGAGGTTTAGGTCTGGGAGTGAGTCTTGATCATCACCTTGGCCTTGCTCCAGACGGATTCGCTCGTCAGGAGGTGGACCAGATGGCTGGACTGGAGGGTTTGGTGTGTGGCACAAATGGGACGAGAGAGAATGATGGTGATATGTCATCTACAGGCTGTGGAACATGGCTCTTCGTTTTAGAACCCTGGGAACTCATCTTCGACAAATATTGCACTGTCAGAGACGAAGTCCTTCTGTGTTTGTGGGTCCCAGAATATCCAACCTTTGTAGTCATTTGGATATCCAATGAAGACACATTTTCGCGTATGGGGTGCGAGCTGTGATCCTTTTGAAGGTGTACATGGGCTCGGCAGCCCCAAGCATCAGAGTGTCAACAGAGGTTTTGAGCCATTCCAGATCTCTATGGGGTTATACCATCGAGAACAGAGGATGGAAGTCGGTTATGGAGGTGTGGACAAAGGCTCTGGCAGCATCAGCCCAGAACGACGGTGGTAGCTTTGCTTCTGAAAGCATTGCAGTTACCCCTTCAGCAAGGTGACGGTTGAATCTCTCAGCGACTCCATTCTGCTGGGGACTGTCGCGGATGGTGTGTTCGCGTTGGATGCCATTCTCTGCACAGTAGTTTTGGAACTCGGTGGACATGTATTCACCACCTTTGTCATCTCGTAGACATTTAATTTTTACCCCCAGTTCCGTCTCAGCGTGCATTTTGAAGTCTTTAAATGCCTCGAGAACTCTGTCCTGCTGGGAGTGTGTGTACAGGGTAACACGACGTGACTTATCGTCAATGAATGTAACCCAATACCGATGTCCCTTCCGGCTCTGAGTTGGCACTGGCCCATGGACGTCTGAGAGATGCGTCCAGGACAGATTCTGATCGTTTTGCAGGCACTGTATGTGGTGCACGAGTCTGCTTGCCCTCTACACAGGGTACGCAAAGAGCTGGGGTTATTGTCTTGCCAGTGGTGGCAAAATCTTTGACAACACTAGTTGAGAGCATCTTGTCGATTGTGGCATAGCTCCGATGGCAGAAACGCCGGTGCCATGTCTCAATTGACACTGGCGTGGTTGTTATGGCATGGAAACCGACTCAGGTACTGTCCCTGGTTCGTCTGTGCGGCCTTCGAGTAGTGGGACATTGTAGCACGCTTAGTAGCAATGAGAATCGCATTCTTTTCTTTGTAGAAGCAGAGCGTGTTGGAATTGATAGTCGCAGTGATTGATGGGAGAGTCATCATGAATATGGAAAAGAGGTTGTTTTCAGATTGGGAACGAAGAGGACATCTTTGAGAATTATGGAACTGTCGAGTTTTCCATCTAGCAGTGGCCTAAACGTGACCATTCCCTACCCGTACCAAAGTGATTGATCCATCAGCTAGCTACAGGAGTCCTGCACTCCGAGAAGCTAGTGAGCCACTCGCGACGATGTGTCATATGGCAGGAGGCTCCTGAATCAGCAATCCAGCTGTCAGCTGCTGTAGGTACGGGTAATTGGGACAAACTTGCATTTCCGGCATATTCGACCTCTGTAGGCTTATCGATTGCTTGTGCAGCATGTGCCTGGTGTGACCGTCCTGGAGCAGAGCTCCGATCACTGCGTCCACGTGCTCGGTGTGGCTGGGTTCCGGAGGTACCGGCTCGTCGCTCGGCGCGCTTGTTCAGGTACATCTGCTGGAAGCGGACCATTGTGCGGCAATCTTTGACAAAATGGCCGATGTTTAGGCAAAAGAGGCATTTTGTTGGTGTGGTAACGGCGGCAGCAACCTCGGGTGCTATGTCCTGCGATTCTGGTGTCGTTGTGTTGAATAGGAGCATTGCTGTTTTGATTTTGTCGTAATTGATTGTGTTGGAAACGACAATGCTGGTGCGCAGCTGATGCTCAGTGGGGATGGCATTGAGTAGTGTAAATGCCTGAGTTCCTCTGTCTCCTTCTGTATGTTCCAATCGGCTGGGCGGAGACGGTCAAGTGCATGGGTGGCATCATCCACGTTTGACCAGGTCTGCCCATGACTCTGTTGATTGCTTGCGGATTGAAAGCAGTTCATTCCACGCTCTGAAGCGCATGCTTCCATCCTTTTGGCATAGAGCTCGAAAAGCGCATCGTAAATTGCCACACCATCAGAAGGTGTCTTTTCGAGGATATGTCGGTGTTCCTTGCCGGCTGCAGTGCGTAACCATGGACACCTGACGATTGCATTATCATAGGTTTTCTGTGCAGAGATTTCTTCTGGCGTTGGCTTTGTTGGATCTGCATAGCCAGGTCGTTGGATGCGTGCTTTGGTGCCTGGATCTTCAGCAAAAAGAATTGTATTGTATCCAGCAAGGGTGAGAAGTCCATCAAAGTTCCGAATCCATTCTTCCCAATTTGCTGGATTCGGTGTGCCGGCCTGTATGAGCTGCTTGAGAATTGTTTCCATCAGGGGTATTTGTGTCTACCGAAGGTAATCCGGTTTTAAGCGAGAGGAAGTTTTTTCTGTTGGTTTCCCATGCCGTGAATGTCAAGTGCGTTGCAGGGATTGGGTACTGAGCAGTGTCTGTGGAGGTTGACACAGTGTATGTGTTCGTTGAGTGTATGCAGTAGAATTAGAGTAGTGCATTAGTTGGTATTGATGGATATTGAGTGGTCTCAATTGTTGGCACTGGCAGCGTAGCAAGCACTTTTAGAGCGCAGGGCTCATAACCTGTTGAACAGAGTATACTTAGGCAAGTGAGCGTTGTAGTCAAACCAGTGAATATAGTAGGCTACCTTAGGCAGTGAGCGTTGTAGTCAAACCAGTAAGGTTTGACTGGCTCTCTCGCCACTACCATAGACGAGACAACAAGGCAACTAATACCAGGGTAACCAGTGGCACCAAACATGATGACCTTCATGTTTGTATATGGGTTGGATGCTAGAGACGAAGAGTTGTGAGAGCAAAGGAGCTGATGATACCTCCGCGGCACCTCAAGCGCCTTTTTATGCCATTCTCAACCCTCCAGACGATTAAAATAGTCACTTGATGCATTGTCGTCCGCGCCTGTTGCGATTGAAGTGTTCGAAGTCGGTAGAAAATATCGGAGGTCAGTACGCGAGATGGCGCATTCAGTCCCGACTGAATTGATCGAAGCCGGGGGTTAAAGCTGAGTTGAAGACGGGGACGCTGACAAAGATGGTGGATAATATTGGAGAAAAGTGGTTATCAAACAAAGAGCGGTGATGCCTCCGAGTGAAATGAGCGTGCCGCAGTACGCTGTTGGTAGCCATCAAGGACATGCTATATATAGATACGATCAACTACACCTTAATCAACTGTTTTCCACTGCTCAAGTGCTTGTGCGAGACGAGCCCATCTGCCGCCATGCCAAGTCGCAATCTTCTCCCACACTCGTTCTTTCCAGCTCCAATTCGCACGGCTACAGATTCTCCGGTACCACCACTTTAGCTGGTCTCATTCTCGTCTCTACAAACGATCCTCACCCAGGAGCAACGCGCCGATACAAAATCTGCAAACGTAGGGAAAGGATCCCATGACCCATTCATTTTGCGCCTCCATTGCTGAAGTAGCACCATCCACTTTCACCGTCATTCCCTCTGACGATTATATTCGAGAAGCGGTTAATTACGTCGAGAACTCCGTGTATCTTGGCTGGGCTTGAAACGCTTCAGGTGAGCGTGGATAGTATTCGTCCAGTTGAATGTTGAACCACTTTTCGCGTGTAGACTTGTAGTACTCTGCACCCCGCGGGTCGAGGGTCGCTGGCATACGTGGGAGGATGAATGGGAATATTGCAGGTGCGAGTAAAATGACAACGTTTTGCAAATGCGATTTGCAACGCGCGCGTGTTTGGTGGTAAGACGCGAGGTGTGTCTGGATACTCGGCGTCTAGAAAACTGTGGATAGTCAGCCAGGGATTGGAAGCAGATGGCGGGCGTACATGGCTATATTGATAGAGTCAGCAATGACGCTTGGAGGTCCGCCGTCTTCAGACGGAACAGAGATGACTGGGAGAAACGTCTTTGGTCTATTTGGACCTTGATCCATTGGCGAAAGTCGAGACGAATCCATAGGCATCAATGTCGGGATAGGAGACGTAGACAGTCTTGTAGGGCAAGCGTTTATAGTTGAGAATATATCTAAACAGAGGTTACAATGGGTATCCCAATGCGTTTCGACCGACCTTGCTCGCCAAGTGCTGGGGAAGATGCTTGTGGCTTCAGACCAGATGCAACATCGTAGAGTAATCTGTTTGATTTCATCGTGTTGTTGGTGTTCCATGTTTGTCGTTTGTGCGCAAGACGGTTTGGAAGTGGCCGCGTAAATACTGGAGACGGCTCCAAATCGACTCTCGGCCACCGGCATGCCGAAAATACAATCATGACCCAGCCACAACTACAGCAAGGAAGGACTTCTATTGGTAAAAGCGCTCATGGGAGGGCCAGCCGATGGAAAAGGGGACTTTTCTGTAGAGAATCATGTAGTCTCCGAGAAATCATCCTATCCAGCGCTTTTGAGCGGTGTAAAATTGTGTATTCCACCAAGTACGTTCGTCGCTCGGACGAAGGAGGATCAAGTCATACTATCGTCTCCATTCCTCTAGTGCCTTGGCAAATCGTGCCCAACGACCTCCGTTCCATGTAGAGATATTTTTCCAGAGATCGTTATTCCACCTTTCCCATCTGGACCCTCGAGACCTTCTCCACCAACAGTTCCACCTAGACAAGGATTCCTCCCAGACAAAAGTCTGCAAAAGTCGGACCATCCGTTCCCATGACCCAGTGTCGGTAACCTGAAGGAGAGCTTGTCAACGGGGAGGATGGATAGTTTTCGAGCAACGGGCTCATGGCGTCGTCCTCAAGTTGGCCATTGGAGAGGAGGAAGCCATTGATCGTGTTCAATCCAGCACGCAACTTTTCCATTTGTTGTTTATACTTTTCGGATCCAGGAGGGCATAGCTCCTTGATGGATACACCCTCTGGACAGTACCATTTTTGGCGTGTGCGGGTGAAATATTCCGCTCCTCGCTCGTCTAATTTTTCCAGAACACGCTGGAGAATCATGGGACGGAGATGTGCGACAAATGTGGTCGCAAGGACGTGCTGGACGAACGCGGCTTGAGAGCGACTGTATTGGGTGGCAGGACACGAGGAGTGTCTGGATACTCGCGATCTAGAAATCTATTCGTTGATTAAAATCGAGAACACGCGAATTCTATATCGATGGCTCGCGTACAGCGCAATCTTGAACGAGTCGGCGATGACCGAAGGCCCGCCGTCTTTGGAAGGGACAGAGATGACCGGAAGAGTCGAATTGGGCTCATTTTCAAGTAGAGATAGACCCAATTTCTGCCAAAAGCGGCAATGTCGGGATAGGACACCCAGTGAGTTTCGTAAGCCAGGCGCTTGTAGTTGAGGACATAACTTGGCCAATGTTATCAGGCCTTTTTTCTGGAGCAGAACAGGGCGAATTACCGTGCTTTCCAAGGGTTTGGAGCCCACGCCTGCGGGGATAGCCGTGATGGAATGTCGTACAGAATAATCTTTGACATTGGATACGTTGCCGGGAACAAAAGCGCCGAAGATTGTTTGGGAATGCTGTTTGGCGGGCATTGTCCCGGAGGCGCAAGTGGCAGTGCACAATGGGCCTCTATGGTTCTCCTTTTGGCCACCCAACCTCCTTTGTATATATCTCGACCTCGAGATCAGTTGGCCGGAGATCACCTCTCCCTTCCTCTCTCCGCCTCCTCGTTCCCTTTTGTTCCCTTTTCTCCTCCTTCTCGTAGTGGCACAGCCCATTGTATATAAGATACTCATTCATCCTCTGCAGACTCTCCGTTACGATCCACCACCATGCCTTTTGCACAAGGAGACATCTTCACCGCCACCTCGACGACAATCAAGTCTTCCAGCGTCAGGCGCTTCCTCCTCGCTCGTCCTCGCTGTTGTACGTCTATCGTGCCTCATCCAAAGGCTATCGACTCACCACAACCCTCTAGTTCCAGCATCCACTCGTCCCAATTCTTCATCATCTCTCCTCCTCTTTGTCGGCACCGCCCTCCAGGCATACTTTGCCCCGCTTCTTCCGTCACCAATTCAGTGGCAGGCACCGACACTTTCCAATCCTTTGCAAAAGATGCCATCCTCGTCATCTCAGACATGCTCTCGCCGCTCATGCTCCTCGCCATTGGCGTTGGCATGGCGGGTACCCTCTGCCGTGGATTGGAAGTGGTGATTGAATCTGCAGCATTCAGAGGTCGCGCTCTATGAGCAATATCCTCGACGCTGCCCTCTGGGATTTCGCCTCTTCTTGACGACTATCAAGTCAAGTGAGCGTCCCGACGAGCATTATGGACGACACACCCTCATGACCCTTACGACTCACGACCCGTTTACGATCCGATACCACCCCCCCTCCATCTACTGTATCCTTACCCTTCCTCCCCTCCTCCACACTTTGCTTGTGCATACTTCGTTACTTCGCCCAGCTTCCGTATCTCGAAATTATTCTTCGGGTTCCTTGGAGCTTATTTTTTTTGGCCTTGTATCAATGCAACTGTTTGACCATGCCTCGTCGTGGTCCCCTAGCCAATGTTTCGTGTGCCGCTGAGTGTGAAACTCTATCATCTCCGCAAATGAGAATCTAAAGAAATCGTGAACTCCAATTCTTCTGACCGTCTTCGATCTTCAATCGCTGACACTGTACTTTAGACTTTTCAAAGGCCGTTCGCCGGTTGGCCAAAGCCAACCGCAAGTTGAGCTCGACCAACAACTGACTACGACTGACTATAAGCCTTTTCATAGTCGCAGGTATGTCAAGGCCTGTTCGAATTTCATCCACTAAGTCCAGTAAGACAGCCATGCGGCGTTCAACGAGACGAAAACAGCCCCCAAAAGGCGTCAAACCGCAACTTTATACAGAAAAATCTGATGTAGACTCGGCGTCGGAACCACCAGAGACCATCGCAGAAACAGGGTCGCGAAGAACGCTCTCCAACGAACCGGTATGCCTCTTATTGCGCCTTCTTGCTTTATATCTAATCCCATATTCAGGAAGAGGTCATGGAGACTGTAACGCAGCTATCCAACTTTCTCCCGAGCGAACAAGAAGTCCGACAAGCGCAAACACTCATTTCCCAATACGAAAGAGAATACGAGGCGGCTCAGGCAGAGTACCAAGTCAAGCTGGAACTAGACGCATTGGCTCATCGAATGTCGACGATCCAATCCCGCATTTTCGAGAAAAGGGCCTCGATAGCCCCATCCGTCGCGTCCCACAAGACGTTTGTCAATGATCTTTGGCCTTTGCGTACGGGAGAATGCCACCTCCCCATGGACTCTTCACGTCTGCCGGTCCTGGAGAGCTGCCGCCATGCACACGGCAATGCTTTGGAACCGGATCATGATTGCGCCTTCCAATTGGGCTGGAAGGCGTAAAGGTGCCCCCAAGTTTTACGAAGGAATGGAAGTCTGTACCTCTGCGGGTCAACTCGAGCGTGCGATCAAGCAAGCGGGCTCAACCCCACTCGAAGTGCGTTTACTCATAAGTGGGACCGCGTATAGACGCTGGGTGTGGGCGTTTAGTAATTATGATCCCAACGAATATTCGAATCAGGAACGTGAGGTGCATAAACTCCTCGGCCATCTCAACGACCTGAACATCCGAGTTCCGTTGCGGGCCCTGGAGATTGACACTGGCGAGAGATTTTCCATCCCGGAAAAGTATCTACAGTGCTTCGTATGGACAGACATCGAACGCCTCGTACTCGATGGAGAGTACCCAATGATCCTTTCGGCCGTGGTCGAAAGCGGAGCGAGGAATCTCAAGGTTCTGAGCTTGGATTATCCTGATATCATCGATGTGATTGACACCATTCCATGGGCACAACTCAAAGAACTGGGTGTCATCAACTCTACCGATCCTCTCGAGTCTCCTCTATTGATTGATGCATTACGACGATGCAGCAATGTGGAAACTTTGACTCTCAAAGACGTACGCGTCGGTAATCAGGATAGAGCAGACCACCCACTCGTCGAGATGCCTTCGGTCACCCGATTGACACTAGACTTGGTTGTACCCCTCTGGCCCATCCATTGCCCCAATCTAACTCATCTCTCCATTCAAAATCCAGAACAAATTCACACCACGCGGATAATCCGTCTCCCAAACCTGGTTTGGCTCGGGTTCAACGGGTCAGTCCTGAACCGCCTCAACTGTTTTGACGCTCCAAAAGCATACATTCGAATGGACGTCCGGTGGAGGAAAATCTGACAATCTCAGCGGGTTACGGGACTTGTGGCTTCATAATAACCCCATTGTCATTGATCCCATCGTCGTCAAAGTTTGCGACATGACGCTGACCTCGAAATACTTTGCGCTAGCACTCTTTAGGCTCGTTCGCTGCCAACGACTTCACGCGATACGCACGCCTCTTGGACCCGAGTTTTTCGAGACTCCTGTCCCTGCCGCCCTGGTTGGCAAACGCAAAGGTGGCGCAGGGTCCGGTACCACGATCCCACTTCGTAGTTTCCGAGAGTTTATCTTCGATTTTATGGGTGGCAAAAAGGTGGAGGACGGACCGCTTCAAGAAGCCGCCAAGTCGTTTATCAGGAGAAGAGAGGAACTTGGCGCACCCATTCAGAAACTGGACATTCGAACGCAAGATGGCACATGGCACGACCTCGTCGAACTTGTGCATAACGAGCAGGCAGGTGAAGTGTCGGATGAATAGAATGTATACACGTACATATCGCGTATCCGGTCCTATTTTGCATCCTCTTTATCATATTCCAACTAGTTTCCATAATCCACACCTTCGTATTAGCGCCTGTTACTATAAATCGTTACTTGTACTCGATGTCTATGCATTTCCTGCGTTCATTTCATGTCCGAACTTTCCGAGACGGGCTCTACGGTGTTTGCGATTGCAGCGGGGCGATTCAGATAATGCTTCGCCCGCTCCTCGCTCTGCACGAGGTGAGCATACTTGGGCTGAACGAAGGGCTCTGATCAATAAGCCGTCAGAATTTCTCATATTTTGAGCAA